AGTGCCTCAAAAATTTTTTGTGATTGTATGTGTTTTGAAATAGCAAAATATTGCAAGTATTTTTTGCCTCTCTTTACAGAGTGAGAAATAATTTATTATCTTTAAATTTTCAATTTAAAATTTTCTGTTTTCAAAACAACTTCGTTGGTAAAAAATTAAATATTTTGACAGTAAATTCAGAGATATATTTGTAGAATTTTTTCAATTATGATTCATTTTAAAATTAAAAAATATATAAGTTGACATTTTCAGAACTTTTATATAATTTTGATATTATTTTTGTTTAATAATTTCGGACATAACATGCTAACCATCTATGTTGACCCTTTATTATAGAATGATAAACATCGCATCTTCCTATTTTTCCTAAAATAGACTTAGAACGTACATATAATTTCAGAGAAATCAAGGGATATGAAAATGTCCACTAATTTGGAAGGACAATAAATTTATCTAACAATATGAAATGAATTTCTATTCCTGACATGTGAATTTGTTTGCAAATTTTGTCAATTAGAATTCAATCAGAAAAGATAAATGTCAAAAGTTGTAATTTTTACAATTTCGGAAATATTTGTTTGAAATATGTAGTAAGATATAATTATGTGCTCTAATATTTTTTACGGTGTATTCATAAAAATATCCGAAAGCACCTTCTTCATCTACTGCACGAACAAAACTAAATATTCTCCCAAAACCAATTTGACAGAAAATTCAAAACAATTTATTTTTATACCCTACAACACTATCTGTTGGGGGAATTATAAGTTTGATTGGGCCAGAATTTATGTAACACCTCGAAATATTGGTTTCCCACATATGAAAATATATATGGATCTTCCTAGCTCGCCGAGCTGAGTCGATCTAACTATGTATGTCCGTCTGTCTATGTTAATTTGTAATCACGCTACAGGTCGCAATTATGGCCCGATCCTAACGAAGTTTTGCACGAAGGTGGGGTTAGGGTCAGAATAGAAGCATATTTCTTTTCGAGATGATCGCCAAATGTTTAGGGTTTGAAATGGACCAAATACTGAAAAAATGTCGGATTTTGTAGTACCTATACAGGTCACAATTATAGACCAATCGAGTTTCGGAGTTTTGCATGTAGCTAGAGTTTAGGGCGAGGAAGAAGCCTGCTAATTTGGGTGGTCATCGGATAATATTTAGCGGGTAAAATAGACCATATCTTTTGTGTTGAAAAAATTCAAAATTTTTCATTAAACCGCGAATATTTTAAATCCCGGCGAAATCACAAAGCCGTGACAAGGTTACTTCTATAGCAAAATATGTGCGATATATATGTCTATCAAAGAAGATATGCTTGAAAGATCTCTTATATGTCGAGAACGGCTGAACTGATTTCGACAGTTCTCATTAATTCAGAATGGCCTCTTGGCAGGAAAGAAAAAACGTCTAAAAAATCGCATAAAAATATCTCTCTAAAGATGAAAATATTGATTTTGTAACATTTTCTCATATTTTTTTAAATTATGTCATATTTTTGGCATATTTTCATTTTGAATTAAACATTGGTAATATTTCTACAGCTAACAAAACTAAGTAGTTATGATATCAGGATATCATATACAGATCGCATTTATGGTCCGATCCTTACGAAATTGCATGGGGATAAGATGAGGGTCAGAATAGAAGCCTACTCTTTTTGGAGATGATCGCCATATATTTAGGGGTTGAAATGGACCAAAAAACTGCAAAATTGTCAGCAGGTCGTAATTATCGCCCGATCCTCACGCACATTTGAATGGGGGTTACCGGATATTACAAAAGCCAAGCAGTTTTGGATGGCCATCCAAAAATATTCAATGTGTGAAATAGTTTGCCAACTTTTGTAGACAAAATACGAAAATGTCCAATCCAGAGTCTTTTTGGAGAATTCAGAAATACAGGAAAGACGCACTTCTGACTATTTCGTTGACGCTGATTTCGTTGAAGAATATAGTCAAATGTCTGTGTCTCATATAGATGCGTTTCAGTCAAAACCAATAATAAATGTTAATCTTTTGCCACTTCTGAGAGATTACAAGGCTTTGATAAATATTGGTTCCAGATCTAGGAAGACCATTTACGTGCAACATCTACCAATAAATTGGAAATGGGCAAATTAATTTAAGTTGCTATTATTCGAAAATTAGAGAACGAAACCTGATGGTTTTCTTTTATTATTTGTCACAATACCTTGTGGAATTCTTTCGAGTATCTCGCCTATATAAACTGAATTGTTTATTATAATGTTGTAGGGTGTTCCACGGTCGGCCCCGCTCTACTGTCGCTTTTGCTTACTTGTTTACAATTGTGTTGGTGAAAACAAAGATATCCCAAGGGATACTCTTTGCCTAGCCTTGAACTATATTATTAAACTCTTACATTAAAATCTCTTCAAAATCTTTTACTTTAAAGTTTACAGAGGGGGATATTAGAAAAACCATTGCAGCATGGACCCACTTCCAATTTTTCCGTCGGATATTATTTTACCGCCTCATATGAAAACCCTAGAAACCAACAGCGACCTCAATGTCAAATATCAGATTTTCAGCCCTATTCATTAACCCAAATACCAAATTTTGTAACATCCTAGACAAAAGCAATATTAGTACCATTTACTACGTTTCGAAGAATTGTAATACGCATTTGCAAAACCACCTTTAGATCTCACAACCACACCAACATCAACCGAGATATTAATACCAAATTTCGGAATGCCACCTCTATCGCTTCACCCAATACCAAACTTCGTATTATTTAGTATTTTCCGATAATAGGACGCATTTCCAAACCAACCGCCAAATCTCAAACACGGATACCAACAGATTTAAGAATTTTATCTCCAACCCTTCACCCAATACCAAATATAGTACCATTCAGCAATTTCCGTACGGTAATAGTGCACATTTTCGAAAACACCTCCTTATGTCCAGGCTACACATAAACAGCGACCTAAATGCCAAGTTTGTGGTTTCATGCAATATCTGTTCACATAACAACAAACAGTACCATTTATGCATTTTTCGTAACCTTAATTTAGAACTTTCAAAAACAATTTGATACATCTATCGTGTACTTTGTAAGAGATTATCATTCCAAAATTATCTCCTCCCGTTTATCCAATCCAAATTATTCAATTTTTAAAACATTTTAGTACGAGTTTCCAAAAAAAAAAAAAAAAAAAAAATCAGCCTTATCACATGCATCCTGTATCTTTTTTATACCCTCCACCCTGTAAAGGAGGGTATATTAACTTTCCGTTTATAGCATCCCTAAATATTGATCTTAGACCCCATAAAGTATAAATATTCATAATCAGCAAAAAATTCTAAGTCGATTTAACGATGTCTATCAGTTGTATGGATATGTAGGTTATAATGGGTTCTAGCTCGTGTGGCGAAAAATTGTTTGTATAGGTCCACGTTTTGGTACAGCCCCCATATAACGGTACCTCCCGATATTCTGTATTTTGATGATTTTTGTCACATTTTTTCGCGTAATGGGTTCTAGCACGCTGGCAGATCACATATAACTCTACACACCGATATTCGGCATTTTGATAGTCCTAGTCACATTTACCCACATATTATTTTAAATTTTGGTGTTTTAGAAGATTTGATAGATGACAATCCTTGAAATATAAAATTGCCTATAAAGGTTCCCGTTTTGGTATGGTCCCATATAACGGCTTCACTTTATGGTTTTTTGATAAATTTAACTGTATTATGCAAACGGCCTTGCTGGCATATGAAGTTTAAAGTGAAACACGCTTGAATTTAAATACTATTATATCGGTCCGTTCCAGCCCGGCCCGGCCCCCAAACTATCCAAATTTGGCGGAGTTAATTGAAAAATACTAGGATTTTTAGGAGAAATAAAAATTTCTCAATTAAATTCCAATGCTGTATCGAAATTTTACTAATGTATAGCACAATATTTTGTTCACACTGTGTTAAAAGCAAAGGTAATATAAGGGTCTTTAAACAAAATTGAGAAATAAAAAATCCCTACAGCTGGATAATGTTTGATATATTCAAGAATTAAATAAAATTTTTTGACAGATTAAGTGTGTTCCACATTTAATGACTTCAGATACGGTTTTCAGCAGACGTGTTTAAAATGTGGTATTTTATACCAGATCCCTTTAGCAGAAATTTGCGTATGAAGGATCAGGTTTTGCTATAGCCCCTTACACCGGTACCGCCCACGTCATAAAATAAATTGGAATATATTCGAATATTGAATCCCGATACTTTTATTAAAGTTTTTTTTTTACTTCATAATGTAAAGTATCGAAAGTTCGGCCTGACCAAACTTAACGCTTTTTCTTGTTTCGCTATTATAGTAACTAGTAAAGTAGAGCACCTCAATTCAACAAATTCCAAAACATTAATCTTCAAAACTCCCACACTAGGTGTGTTACGATCACATCGCATCGCATCACCTCACATCAAATCAATGAACCTAATCTGGCCAATCCTGTTGATTAGCTATTCACAGTAGTTGAAATGTAGAAAAAACAAATATCACATCGAACAGGTTAAAAGTTCAAGTTGAGATATTTATGTTTCGGAAATTTGCAAAATATTCAATGGGTTGAGGCAAGAAGCAGTAAAGCGAGAAATTCCAAAGAGACGCGGTTTGACCACCACCAACCACAAAGGCCAACACCTTTTTCGTGTTTTTTTTTCTTTCGGGGTTTTACGTTAAATCTTAGACGCCAATGTGGTTGTTGTTGTTGTTTTTCTTTTAATAGAAGCTGTGAAATAACCGTTTAGTATCTCTTATCCATGACCATTGTCGGCAATCATGAGGTGAGTATGTATGTATGTGTTTAGTAACAAGCAGTGCGTCATTATTGGCCATCATCAACATTTTCAGAGCCATATTACTCGAATATGAGCGAGAAGAGACGAAGATCGAAATCTTGTAGAATTTGACAAGAATGCCAAATTGTTTATTTCTATTGTTTTCTTATTTGGTGTGTTTAATAACTGTTTTCTAAAGTGGGCTATATAAATTGCTGATGGTTACCCACAGAAGCCAGAGTTCAACTCAGTACTCATCAACAAAGAACTAATCAAAATAATCAACAAAATGCGTGCCTTCATTGTACGTAAAAGGCTGCCATGGACACAACAGCAAGGATTACTAACGTTTTTCTATCTGCTTCTTTGTAGGTTTTATGTTTGGTAGCTGTGGCTTGTGCCGATAAATTAGGCTATAACTACCAACCCGTGGGTCACTCCAGCAGTGGATTGTCTTTCACCCCTGGTGCCGTGGGAGGTGGTAGCGGTAGTTTCAGCGCTCCATCCTACTCTGCTCCCGCTGCTAGCGGTAGTTTCAGTGCTCCATCTTACTCCGCTCCCGCTGGTAGCGGTAGTTTTGATGCTCCTGCCTACTCTGCCCCCGCTGCTGAACTGGAAAAGGAATTCTACACATTCTCCGCCCCCGAAGGTGAATTCGAAGATCCCAATGCCGCTCAACGTGTTGCCGGTAGCTTGAAACAAGGTCTTCGTGTTATCTTCATTAAGGGACCCGAAAACAGCGGTTTGGAAGATGCTGCCTTGGCTTTGGCCAAACAAGCTGCCCAACAGAAGACCGCCATCTATGTCCTCAACAAACAAGCCGATCTCGGTGATTTGGCCAACAAACTTAACAACCTTAGTGCCAACAACAGCCCGAAACCCGAAGTTCACTTTGTCAAATACCGTACCCCTGAAGATGCTGCCAATGCCCAACGTGCCATCCAAAGTCAATACGATTCCTTGGGCGGTAAATCACAAAACTTCAATGGTGGTGTTGCTCCCGTTCTTAACTTTGCTTCTCAGTCAGCTCTGCCTGCTGCCACAGCTCAAGTACCCCAGAATGCCTATTTGCCCTCGTCCGTTTTCCGTCGCCGCATTTAAACAATGATTTGTAGTTTGTCTAGAGAGGCAAATTTGGTTTGAAAATTGTTACGGTCTCAAATTTAATTGTTAAATTTTTGTTGACTACTTACTGAGTATTTTATATATTGTTCGAATAAAACGATTTTGTTATAGTATTATAAATTTGATAATTTTAAATATTTTGGGGAACTTTTAAAAATCTTGCTGGATGATGTAAACTTTGTTTTATGTTGTTAGTTTATAGCGTTACTAATAATTGATTGTGCAACTTTGCATGAAATAAGTGATCGAACTCCATAATTGACACTAATAATGAAATTGGACCTAGAATATTTCTTTCTTTGACACATTTCCCAAAGAAATATGAATGAGGGGAGTTTTGGACATACTAGTATATTATTCTGAGTTTTATAGTGAAATTTTGTTAAAAATATTATTTACCAGTAAGGAAAAGTCAAAAGTCGGGCAGGGCCGACTATATGATACCCTACACCACTATGTATATTTAGTAGACCCTATCACTTATCATCATTTGGCTTTAGAACAGTTATAGTTTGCTATAGGCTGCATGATATTACTTGGAGAAGGATTATATAAAAAAATGTTCCTCCAAATGGAGACGTACGTCCTAAAATTCCCTCCATTTGGGCTGATATTAGCCATTATTTGCACAATAAACCCGAAATTGGATTGAGGATATATATGGGAGATATATCCAAGTCTTATCCGATCCCGATAAAATTTGGCAGAGGTATTTCTGAGCTCTATGAGATGTCTGGAACCAAAATATCATTCTTGTGGGGTGCATATTACGAATGTGAAGACTTAAACACAAAATAGAATGAATATAGTTATATCTGAACTTATTCTCTCCAAATTTGATGTACTTGCTTCTAGATTGAATTCGGCCGGATGTGTCAAAATTCAGGTCAGTAAGAAAGATATTGGCATTTGGGGCACAATTAACCCGAAATCTGTTGAAGATATATATGGGAGCTATATCGAAATCTGAACCGATCTTTATAAAATTTGGCAGAGGTATTTGCGGGCAATTACGACTGAATTCATCCTAGAAACTAGCACTTTAAATTTGTTGTAAATCGGTTCAGATATAGTAGTGTTGTTCCCATATATATGTTTCATCCGATTTGGAGTTAAAACCCCTAACACGCTTAATATGCATTCCACAACAATTATCTTTGAGACCAGATATCAGATACTGCTCTGAAATAAGTGTATCACATTTTGTCAAGATCACATCCGACTTAAAGTCTAGAAGCAAGTACATCAAATTTGGAGAACATCGGTTCAGATACAGCTATAGCTCCCATATATATTTTTCGTCTGATTTGGTGTTTAAGTCCATCATATTCGAAATATGCATTGGACAACAATGATATTTGTTACCAGATACCTAGAACTCAAAAATAACTTTGCCACATATATCCTTAATCCGATTTCAGGTTTATTGTGCAAATAATGGCTTATATCAGCCCAAATGGAGTGAATTTCAAAACGTTCGTGTCCATTTTGTGGAACTCAGCTCCAATATATATTTTTATAATATAATCCTCCTCCAAGTGATTTCATGCACTCTGTAGCAAACTATATCTTCTCTAAAGCCAAATGTTGATAGGTGGTACGATCGACTTTAAATAAATTCTTTTGTTACGGGAGCTCTACACTATGTGTTTGGGGTATTATAAGTTTGATTGGGCCAAACATTATGAAACACCTCGAAGTATTGGTTTCCCACATAGGAAAGTAAATATAGATCATCCTATCACGCCAAGGTGAGTCAATCTATATGTAGAGGGTAATAATAAAACATAACTTTTATGTAAAAAAATACGAAAATTTCCACTAAAACTCGAATATTTTTTTTATCGCGGTGAAATCAGAAACACATTAAAAGGTCACTTCTGACCGTTACATTGATGCTGATAGCCATCGGATATGTAGCGAAATAGTAATAATCTATATGTAAATGAAATTGATATTAGTAATGCCGCTATACGTCAAGAGCCGCTGAATTTTTGACAATTTTTACCAATCTGCAATGGCCTTTGCCAGAAAAGGGTAAAACCTGAAAAAAATCGCGTAAAAGTCTATAAAAAAAAGTCAATATTTTTTGTTACAGTTTTTTCAATTGTTGTCATATTTTTATCGCATGCGATATTTTCAATTTGACTTACAATTTTAAATTATTTTCTAAAATTTTTACTATACCCTGCAACACTATGTGTTGAGGGTATTATATACAGGTTGCAATTATCGTCCGATCCTTACAAAATTTTGCATGGGGGTAGGGTTAGGGTCAAAATTAAAGTCTGTTGTTTTGGAGATATACATTTTGATGTTCAAATGGACCAAACAATTAAAATTTTCCTGATTTTGCAGTCGCTCTATAGGTTACAATTGAAAACCAATCGGCTCGGAATTTTGTATGAGGAGAGAGTTAATAACAGGGACGAGGTCGAGCATTGTGCATTGGTCATCCAAAATGTTGAATGCATGTTGAATTTATTTAGAATGCATAACACCACGGCGGAGTGCGTAAATAAGCAATTCAGTAGTTCAAAAAAGAAATCTTCCAAAATAGACTTAATCGGCCCCGCACAACTATAGCCCTAGCTTACTTGTTTTTTTTTTTTTGTTTTTGTTTCTATGTTAAATGTACCAAAATGTTAAAAGAGTATCCATTTCAGAGGGGGGGACGGGACCTGGCTTCGAACTTAATCTAGGTTTGATAGGAATGGAAAGAGCGATATGCTAAATTTAAGCCAAACACTTTTAGGAATTATGATTCGCATTACGCCGTCACACCAAAAAATATAATAACTTCTCTTATAAGAATTATGAAATTTTATGAATATTCTACATAAGCATTAGAAAAATCCTTTGATTCTAAAAAAAAACTATCTCTTTAGCAAACCCGTTTTCTGTTGAACTTTCGACTAAAATGAAATTCTTAAAATTTAAATAAATACATTTTTTTTTTGGGAATTTCCAACCGCTACAAAAACCGGCACAATAAAAGCTGCGGAGAAAATCTTATTTATTGCGCAATTTTTTATAGCTCTACATATATTCAAATATTCATAATTAAAAAAGTAACAAATACGATAGTTTTTTGACGATATTCGCAATCATAAAATTCAAATCAAGTATTGTTGTTGTTATTTGATTTAAAATAGTTTATATGCTTCAAAGGCAGTATAACAGTGGCATTTCGATCATTTAATTTGGTATTGTTTGTTTTTGTTAACCATAAAACGGTATATAGGGGTTTTATTCTAAAACAAGTCAAATAAAAAACAATAGTTGGATGAACTATAAAAATACGAAAATACATATATATGGCGACTAATCGACCAGTTATAAAGTTTTGGAATGCTGCAAAGTAGATAAATTATATTATCTTATTGGCTTCGGTGTTGCATTGTGAAGAAAACAATAGTTAATCAGAATTCAAGAAGTATTATTTTCACTAAATTTTTGGAGAACATAACAGTTAACCAATCTTCTACATTCTTCCGCATTGGTATTAATGTTCAATTTATTTGGAAAATTGCAAAAAGATAGGTCTTACAAAAATATGAGTAATCTAAGACAGCCTTGGACGGCAGGAAGTTGCAAGAATTTAGAATATCGTACAGCAGTTTTAGTTTTCATTCTGGGAAATAATTGGTTTTGTCGAAGTCTGTTTCTTAAAAAAATAATTCGGTTTAGTGTAAAACATTTTAATTCATTTACTTTCCCAGTTCATGTTTCACCATTTGTTCGTGATTTCTTTTGGAAATAAAGAAGGAGTATAAACTACATGCATTCTAATTTTCTGGTAGAAGTGTTTGGCACAATTCCCATAAGCGACTATTAAAAATCCACAAAAGCTTGTAAAAATTATAATATTCCCAAATTTACAAAACTGAGAGTTTCCTCAACATGGAATGCTTTTTCGTAATCTTCTATATATAAAAATCAATTGTTGTTCGTTGGTAACGGAATCAGTTGAGAACGGCTGGGCCGATTTGCATAATTATTTGTACAAACGTTTCTCATATACCGAGTTAGGTTTCTAAAGAAAAAAATATTGACCACGCCTTCTTTCCCGCCTATTATTTCGATTTATCTAAAATTCTTATATTTGTCAAAATTATGAACACGACATACTGTTAGCTTTCCATCCAAAACTAAGTACTTACTTTTTAATCTATATATACAAATCTATTGATGTTTGTTTGTAATTGAATCAGTTGAGAACAGCTAGACCAATTTGGATATTTTTTTATAGGTTGGTCCTACCCCGAGTTAGGTTTTTAAATAAAGAAAAAATGAACACGCCTACTTTTGTACACATTTTTTGATTTAAAGTTCAAAGGACTAAATATGCCGAAGCATTTGTATCTTTTAAATTCGGAATTGTATTGCCCATTTGGTGCACAATTAATTTGAAATCGGATAAAGATATATATGAGAGCTATATCCAAATCTGAACCGATCTCGATAAAATTTAGCAAAGATATTTCCGAGCTGTATTTGATATATTTCCCTGAATATCGTTGTTACGGAGTGCATATTACGGTTGTGGGTAACAAATATAACAAATCGGATAAACAGTATATATGGAAGCTATGACTATATCTGAACCGATCTTCACCAAAGTTGATATACTAGCTTCTAGACTCAATTCGGTCGTAAGTGATAAGTTCCATCCCATTTGGACAAATATATGACGTTTGGTGCACAATCGAAGGTAAATCGGACGAAGTTATATATGGGAGCTATATCCAAATCTGAACCGATCTCGATAAAATTTAGCAAATGTATTTCTGAGCTGTATTGGATATATTTCCCCAAATATTGTTATTATAGAGTTCATATTACGGCTGCGGTGGACAAAAATAACAAATTGGATGAACAATATATATGAGAGCTATAGCTATATCTGAACCGATATCTATCAAATTCGACATACTTATTTTCAGGCCTAATTTGGTTGTATGTGCAAAATTCCATACTATTCGGACTGATATTACACGTTTGGTGCACAATAAAAGGCAAATATCTAAATTTTGACCGATTATCTGTAATTTCAATAGGGTTCGTCCTTGGACCAAACAAATGATTTGTGCAAAATTTCATCTGGATAGGAAAATAAATGCGAACTGTACTTTTTTAACAAAAATACATGGACAGACGGACAGACGGACGGGCATGCATAATTAGACTCAAAATGTGATTCTATGCAGATCATCAAAATGAACTATGGATCTATCTCGTGTCCTTTTGCCTGTTACAAACAAATGCACAAATACATAATACCCTGACCACCTTGTGGTGTAGGGTATACAAATGTAAAATTTAAGGCGTTTGACTTTGTTGCAATTTTTTATCTCACCCTGTATACCGTCTGTAGCCATATGGGTGAGGGTATAATATTTTTTTTGCATTGTGATACAAACAAATGCACACAAATATAATAACTTTACTACAGTGTGCGTTAAAAGGTACTTATAAAAAACATTTAAAAAACCTACACATTAAGCTACTATTAGTTCAGCATTCTGTCTTTTTTCTTCGCTCAAAAGGCTAAGAGCAGAGTTTTAAACTTCAACATAGTGTTAACGTTGACGTTAATCGTGCCAAACCTGACCTCTTACTATATGACCTCCTACTTATTTCATTTGGCCATCTTTACATTGTTGCCAACATAAGCCCCTGTAAGTCGTTATGGTTGACATTTGACCTTGTCATGTAACTTTCACGAACTGGTGAAAGACATGGATGTAACAAATATAGTTTTTTCTGCAAATCCTTACATAAAATAATAAGCAGAATGGAAAGTTGTAACAGAATTGATAACCTGTAGAAGGACATATGATTAACATTTTACCGAAACTATCAAGCAAATAATAGCAAAACTTTTGTATATGGAAAAAAGTCAAACATGAGGGTAGGAATTACCATAAATTCGCTCAGGCCCAGTTTTTATACATACCATTCTATGGGGAATTGATCGGAAGATTTTTTAAAATCTAGAGTTATCATATTCAATATTAAATTCAGGAGGATGTTATTTACCCAGTACACCAAATATAAAATTGTAGAAGAACTGTCACCAGAACTTTTCGAAATTCAGTAAGTTATCGGTGCAATAAGGAATTTCAGCTCCTGAATCAATATTGAAATTATTGAGGAAAGATTACAGAGAAAATGTGGTTATGATCTAGAAAATGAATATTTATGTCTGAAATTATCTAATTTCTGCAAAATCCATTGGCTATACCAAATAGCTATACCTCCCTCTTATGGCGGATGGTATGAAAAGAAAGAAATTAAAAAGAAAACCATTAAAAAATCTGTAAGTTCGGCCGTGCCGAACAAAGAAATAAATTCCATTAAATATTCTGTTAAAATCTTAAAAATACCAAATGCAGCCATCATATTAGGGTCAAAACGACGATCGGTTACGAACTTTAAATACCAAATTTGAAACAATTCCGATGAATAATTTCGCATAAATCATCAAAATACCGAATATCGGGAGGTACCGTTTTATGAGGGCTATACCAAAACGTGGACCTACATGACCCATTTTTAATACCAAAAGTCCGCAGACATAATACACATTTGAGTTTAATTTTATCAACCTACTTCATTTCGTTCGGAAGCTAGAGAGATTTCCACAGACGGAAAGACGGATACACGGACAAAAACCGCTAAATCGTCATAGAATTTTATGCTGATCAAGAATGTAATATTTTGAGTTACAAATGGAATGGCAAACTTAATATACCCTCCATACTATGGTGGGGGATATAAAAAAAAACAGGTAAACACGGTTCTTATTTAAAACTTAACAGGCATGTTGTCGACAAACAAGTGAACCTGCCGTCACAAAAAGGGCAAATGACAAACAAAAGAATATGCCAGGTATTTGTCTTATACAATAAAATTTAACCACTAAAAAATCTTAGTTATTTTTGAAGCCATGTAAGAGAATACAGATATATCGGCCTCTTTGAAATCTTAAATAATTCAAAATGGATTAACAAAAAAATGCCGGTTCGACAACATAATTAACTTATTTATGGGAAAACGTTATCGGCATTGTCAAAACTAGTTGTTTCAAAAGAACCACCTCGGCATTTAGCGACAAGAATTTAACATAATTATCAGCAGCCAGAAAGATCCAGTGAAACATCAAATTAACTATCTTCAACGTATAAATAGTAAATTGATATTCATTTAGAACGTTTCAGGTCGATTTTAACCTTCAACGAGTTCAGTTGAACGATTAGTGAGTAAGAGTAAAGAAAATGCGCTCTTTGATTATTTTGTGTTTGGTTGCAACCGTTTGTGCCCAATACAACTATGGCAGTACGGGCTCATCGAATTTTGTGGGAAGTGCCTCAGCTCCAGCCCCTGTAGTGGGTGGTGTACACAAGGAATTCTATTATTTTATGGCTCCTGAGGGTCTCCTAGACGATCCACATGCTGGTGAGATATTGGCTGCTGCTTCGAAGAAGAGAGTTCGTGTTATCTTCATCAAGAATCCCGAAAATAAGGCCTACGAAGATGCAGTCGCTAAACTACTGAAACAGGCCACAGAACAACGTACCGCAATCTATGTGCTCACCAAACAACCTGACCTTAATGAATTGGCCAACAAATTCAATGCCATTCGCAGCAATGTCAATGCTAAGCCTGAAGTCCATTTCGTCAAATACCGTACCCCAGAAGATGCTGCCAATGCCCAGCGGGCCATTCAAAGCCAATACGATTCATTGGGCGGTACATCACAAAATTTCAATGGTGGTGTTGCTCCAGTTCTTAATTTTGCTTCGCAGGCTCAAAATTATGCTCAACAAAGTGTAGCTGCCCCCGCCCAAAGTCCTGAAAGTATTTATTTGCCATCGGCTATTTTACGTAAATACCGTACAAACCGTCGCGTTTAAAAGAATTGAAAACTAAAGTGTACTCCGCTAATTTTCGTTAATTTATTTTAGTTAAAATTAATATTTATTTAATAAACGAATTTTCCAAATACAGAAAATAAATTATCGTAATGAATTTGATTTTCTTTATTTCTCTGATGAAAAGAAGACTGTGTGTTGAAATAGCCCAGCGTCAACAATCTCGATCGGCATATGTACCAATTTGGATTAAATGGGGAATGAATCCTTACAGCAGTGTATAGTGTTAATTCCGTAATTCATGCTACAACTTCATTTATAAGACTGTTTTTTTTTTTTCAACTTCGTCCTATAAGTGTTTGAAGAAGATATTTGCAAAATATTTAGATCAAAAACATGAAAAATTTGCAGATTTTACAGTCGCCTTACAGTTCTTAACTAAGGACCAAGAGTTTATAGGTTTTTTTTTTTATTAGGCTAGAGTTTAGGACAGCGCTGAAGCCTGGATGGTCATCGGATTGTATTTAGCTGGTGAAATGAAATCACAAATTCATAAATGGCGTACCTCTGACCTTTACATTGATGCTGGTTTCGTTGACGAATATAGCCAAAAATCGGAGATACAGGAGATCATAAAGAGGAATCGAATTTTTCTTTCAAGCCAAGGTAAAACTATTGCAGAACTCATTATTCAAGAGTGAAATGCAAACAAAATGTACAATATGCATTGACATTTTTTTGAATGTAAAATTTCAGTTATTTTCAAAAGGGCAAATTAGGTATTAGGAACATTTGATTCTTCAAATACCGATGTTTTTTAAGAAATCTCATATTTTTGGAAGATATTGGTTCCAGATCTATGGCGATTATTCGAAAAGAATAGCAATTATGTTCATCATTTGCTTCTATTATGTGGAATATATGGGGATGTCTCTCAAGGGAATCTTTATTCTAGTCAAAAGGGATTCAGATCTGCTTATTTGTTTCTTACTACTTTTCGTATGTTGATTGTACCTTCAGAACGTAATACCTTATCAAAATAAAGGTTTTATACCTCAAGTCTCTTTGGATCAAATCCATTCCAGGATATATGGAGTCGATCTAGGTGTGTCCGTCTGTCAGTCAGAATAGCTGTTGCGAACTTGGTACATAGCAATATTATAAAACTTAGATCGAGTTCGGCGATAGGCAATATCGGACCACTCCTTCAGGTACCTCCCCCACAAAAGGTCAAAATTGTCAAAGAAAATAATTTAAATCATAGAAAGAAAAAGGATCATTCGATTTCCTTCTAAGTTTGGAAATCTTAATATTTGTATCAGTACAAGGTACGGTTCTAAAATCGGCAATATCGGTTGACTTTTTCTTGTGGCTCCCCAGCGAAAGGTCAACATTTTGAACAATCGCAACGTTTAAATAAAGAAAGAACGAAAAACCCGATTGTCTTCAAATATACTTCTACATATACTAATGCTTCTAACAACCCTAGATTTGACATGAATATGAATTGCACTACTCCTTGTGGTACCTCCCTCACAAAGGGTTAACATTTTGAATAATAGCAACTCTTGTATAAAGTGAAAGAACAGTTCGATTGTCTTTAAATTTCACATATCCCAATATTTTTAACAACTCTAAATCTAATACGAAGATGGGATAGACGGTGCCAATTCTCGTGGTACCTCCCTCACAAAGGGTCAACATTTTGAATAAGGGAAACGCTAAATATTTCTATCAACCATAGATCCATTGAAATATTTCTGGTTCCTCTTCCGCAAATTCTCATGATACACGCTGAGGGTATACATCTGTCGGCAAACCCAAAGGATAGCTTTTAACTTTTTATACCCTCATACCATAGTATGGAGGGTATATTAAGTTTGTCATTCCGTTTGCAACACCTCGAAATATACATTTTAGACCCCACAAAATATATATTCCTGATCAACATAAAATTCTATGTCGATGTAGCGATGTCCGCCTATCCGCCTGTCCTTCTGTCTCTCTGTGGAAATCACTCTTGCTTCCGAACGAAATGAAGTAGGTAGATAAAATTTTACTCATATTTATATTTTGTCTGCAGGACTTTTGGCATTGAAAATGAGCCATGTAGGTCAACGTTTTGGTATAACCACCATATAACGGTACCTCCCGATATTCTGTACTTTGATGATTTAAGAGACATTATTCACCGAAATAGTTTCAAATTTGGGATTTGACGTTCGTAATTGATACTAGAGCCAAAAACAGAAAATTGTCTGTGCAGGTGGTCCACGTCTTCGTATAGCCCCCATATAACGGTACCTCCCAATATTTGGTATTTTGATGATTTTAGCTACATTATTAACCGGAAGTTTTTCAAATTTGGCATTTGATGTTCGTAATTGATACTACAGCCTAGAAAAAGAAAATTGTCTATGCAGATCCACGTTTTGGTATAGCCCCATATAATAGTACCTCCCTATATTCGGTATTTTGATGATGCAAGTTCACGTCGTCTATAGACCCCAATATAACGGCTACATTCAATATTTTTTAATATTTTAACAGAATTTTAACGGTTTTAATTTTTTTTGAAAATTCCCAAATTCGTTCCAAGTTCCAAGTGGTAAAGGGTATTCAAAGTTCGTCTCGGCCGAACTTATAGCTTTTTTACTTGTTGTATATTACACCGTGTACATTTTCTATTCGAATTTCTCGAGTCAAATCTGCCCACTTCGTACTTTAAAGATTCATACAATTTTCTCATGAGAATTCCGTTTGTTTTAATACTCTTTTTGGTTTCCTTTTTTTCGAATCCTTTTTAAAACATTTTGCATTTTGTTTATAATTATATCATATATTTTATAATGACACTAACAGGGCAAATTGTCTTCAGAAAGCACTATTTGGGATCTTTTCAAGCTAAAGTGTTGACGCATCGTTTGCCCAAAATATACCCTTACGGTATATAAGTTTACTAGTGAGCTGCTGAGGTATGTAGTCCTTTTGAGAACATTGGAATACAGCATTTCTTTAGTAATTAAACATAACTTTATCCTTGCAAATTATATCAATCTTCAAATGTAAAATAAATTCTTTATAGTTTCACTGAAATCGGTAGCCGTTTTCCGTTAAAAAAAAAAAAAACACATATAATATTAACCACCCAACATTTGTTTATCAGAGCCTTGTATGATAACATATAAGGAGTTATTTTGGTAAAACATCACTTCATAATTCCTGTTTTGAAAATAAAAATGAAAAGCAATTCGAGTCCGTCGATGGTATTTGTCTTCGTCAAGTGAAAAACAAGACTGAATATATTTGTATAAAATTTTAAAAATGAATCATATAATATGGTAATTTGTATAAAAATAGTAATGTGTGATGATCAACTTACTTATTTCGCAGTGGGGCAACAATATGTTGGTCCATAATCTGTGAATTGAATTTGTTTTTGAAAGAAACGTCGCTACTTAGTAAATACCATAATCGATTTTGAATACTAAATAAATTAAAAACCGCAACTACAGCGTTAAACAATAGAAATTCCAATGTTTACCATTGACCACTTCTTCGCACCTTGCATCGAGCAGTTTAAATACACACACACAAACACTTAAATCTGTAAAACATAAACATCTTATTATTATTGGTAGTAGGTGTTGGCCGATGGTGAACTTTTAAAAAAAGTAATTATCGAAGATTACAAAAAAGGCTAGAGCGTCAAAGAAAATTGTTTTTTTTTTTATTGTGAATAAAAAATAACTACTAACCTATTTCGATGAATTGGAATAGTATAAAACGGCTCAGTATCTAATTTCATGCATACAGAAATCGTTTTGTTATAGAACAGAAAACATCCAAAGAAAATTCAGACAAAATGCGTGCCTTCATTGTAAGCGGATAATTAATGGAAACTGATTAAATGCGGATACTAATGGTGTTGTTTTCCATCCTTTCAGGTTTTATGCATAGTTGCCGTGGCTTCTGCCGATACATTGGGCTACAACTACCAACCAGTTGGTCACTCCAGCAGTGGATTGTCTTTTGCCCCAGGTGCTGTTGGTGGCGCTAGCCCCGCCTATAATGCTCCTTCCTACTCTGCTCCTGCTGCTGAATTGGAAAAGGAATTCTACACATTCTCCGCACCTGAAGGTGAATTCAGTGATCCCAATGCTGCTCAACGTGTTGCCGGTAGCTTGAAACAAGGTCTTCGTGTTATCTTCATCAAGGGACCCGAAAACAGCGGTTTGGAAGATGCTGCCTTGGCTTTGGCCAAACAAGCTGCCCAACAACAAACGGCCATCTATGTCCTCAACAAGCAGGCTGATCTCGGTGATTTGGCCAACAAACTTAACAATCTCGGCGCCAACAACAACCAAAAACCCGAAGTTCACTTTGTCAAATACCGTACCCCTGAAGATGCTGCCAATGCCCAACGTGCCATCCAAAGCCAATACGATTCATTGGGCGGTCGTTCTCTCAATGTCAATGGTGGCGTTGCTCCAGTTCTTAACTTTGCTTCTCAACCAGCTGTACATACTGCCCCAGCTCATGTGCCACAAAACGCATACTTGCCATCATCGGTTTTCCGTCACTAAAAATCTTAGGAATACGAACTAAAGACTGATGTATTGTTGTGTTTTCTTGTTAAAGTTAGTAGTTATGAAATAAATTAAAATTGAAAAAAAAAATTATAAAAAATGATTTTCAGAAAGTAAAACAAGTGAAAAAGCACCATTTTGAGGGGCTTGAAATTTTTCCAAAAAAAAAAAAAAACAATAGATACCTTCCAAATGAAATCCCTTTTATGGGGGATATATGAAGACGTGGTCCTTCATCAGTGATTTTTAAAATATGAATTTTGAATAATGTCGCTAAAATCATCAAAATAACAAATATCGAGAGGTATAGTTATATGTGGACTAAACGAAGACGTGGACCTGAATACGCGATCTGTTGTCATATGGTACGAGACACAAAAGATTTATTCACATTTAAATGCTGGAGTGCTCTAATGGTTTTCCAGCCAAATATAAAGAAATCGCACTATCCAGCTTCTATTCCATTGACCTGTCACTGGAATAATTTTAACAGCTGTCGGACGAGTGGCTTACAAATGACAGCAGTCTAAGTTTGGTTGCAATTTTTTCATCTCACCCTGTATATGCTTAACCTGCAAAGATTCCAAAAAATCGTAATACGAAAACAGTAATTTTTACTGTTGCACAGTGTAATCTAACTTCTCATGCAACAATATTTATACCAACACTTGATATGGAAGGAAGACGAAAAATGTCAGTTTACTCTTTCTGGAAACTCTTATATAATCGTCGAAAAGAGCATCTGATTTAGTACAATCCTCGCACATCATGATTATTATCGGTTTAAGACCAGGTAGGAAACATTTAAATTATACCCTCCACCATACTATGGTGGAAATACTCGTATCAGACCCAAAAATATATATATTCTTGATCAGTGTACAATTCTAAGTCGATTTAGCGATGTCCGTCTGTCTGTCTCACGCTATGAAACTTCGAATCGAACTGAGATAGAAGGCTAACACATTTGCACACATGTGTGTTTTTCCACTAGGCAGGTTAAATTCGTAAATGGGCCATGTCTGTAAACGTTTTTATATAGCCGCCATATAACAGTACTTCCCAATATTCGCTATTTTGTATTCCTATTCGTATTTTCGTATATAAAGTTCGTAATAGATACCGATGGTTGCTCTCCGCTCGTATTAATCCAATAAATGCCGAATATTATCGCGAAAATATTCTGGAGGGTGTGTTAAAGCCTTGGGCACGCAAACATTTTGGCCGCAGACCTTGGACATTCCAACAGGACTCAGCACCATCGCACTCAGCACGCGCCACCCAAGAATGGTTACAAAAAGAGAGTTTTTGGAAAGCAAGGTTGGCACTAGAAAATACCAAAGTGTCGATCCCCTCAAGCAAGCGCTTCTCCGGGAATGGCCAAAATACCGAAGAGCAACATTCGGGCAGCGTGTGACGTTTTCATTGACCATTTGAAGGCCACAATTCGTGCAAAAGGTGACCAATTCGAACAAATCTAAACTAAAATTATGGCGTTTGACTTTGTTGCATCTCAAAAGAAAGCTCTTAGCTAAAACCTAGCTTCATAGCACAAGTTATTTTCCATATTGACTGTCATGGCCAATAATGATTATTTTGATGAATTACATTCGGAATGACAAATTTAATATAGCCGCCATGATGAAGGGTATAAACATTATCAAATACGAGGGAATTATATTTTGGAGCTAAGTCTACACATGAACCGATTTAAACCAAATTTTGCACAGGTAATTAGCTGTTATGGAGGGATGTTTTTTAATGTCCAATCAGATGAAAGAAATATATGGGAGCCGTTGCTATGCCTGAGCTGATTTCGCCAAATTGTTTAAAATTTCTAAAATCGTAGAAATGCTGTCATATATGTTAAATTCATTTGGTGTACAATTTGATTTCAAATCAAACCTGTCAAACCCACAATGGGAGTTCGGTATACTGATCTATTTTTATATCATCCACCATACTATGGAGGGTGTATTAAGTTTGTCATTTGTAACTCCTCGTTATACTCATGTCATACTCAAAGTATGTATATTCTTGATCAGCGTAAAATTCTAAGTCTAAGTCCGTCTGTCCGCCTGTCTGTTGTAATCACGCTATCTTTCGAAAGAATTGAGGTAGAAGGCTAAAAATTAGCACACATGTTTATTTATTTCATAGTAAGCAGGTTATGTTCGTAAATGGGGCATGTAGGTCCACGTTTTCGTATAGCCCACATAAGACGGTACCTCCCGATATTCTGTATTTTAATGATTTTAGCGACATTATTCACCGGAATTGTTTCAAATTTGGTATTTGGAGTTCGAGATGGATGCTACAGCCTAGGACAGAAAATTGTCCGTATAGATCCACGTCCGTATATCCCCCATATAACGGTACCTCCCGATATTCGGTATTTTGATGATTTTAGTGACATTATTCACAGGAACAGTTTCAAATTTGGTACTTGAAGTTCGTAATGTATAATACAGCCTAAGACAGAAAAGTGTTTGCGCATGTTCACGTTTTGGTATAGCCCCCATATAACGGCACCTCCCGATATTCTGTATTTTGATGACTTTAGCGACATTATTCACCGGAATTGTTTCAAATTTGGTGTTTGAAGTATGGACTACTAACGGTACAAGTGGTGGGGGTATCCAAAGTTAGTCCAGGTCGAACTTATTGCTTTTTCACTTGTTGTAACTCAATTCGGATGTTTTTTCTCATTTGCGGAGATGTTAGATATTTAAGGATTTTTCAGAAATAATACCTGCAAATGTTTTAAATTGGAACTAAAAATTTTATTTATTTTGATCTAATACTTAAATCTACAAAAAAAAAAAATCAACAAATACTAACAATTATTCAGTCATATTAATTAAGTTCGTTGTGACGTCGTCTAGTAACGCCTACGGAAAATGGATGATGGCAAGTAAGAATTTTGTGGAACACTCACACTACCAGCAGGTGATACTGGAGATTGAGATGCAAAATTAATGACTGGAGCAATACCGCCGTTGATATTGTGAGAGTTTCCACCCAAGGAATCGTATTGGCTTTGGATGGCATATTGAGCATTGGCAGCATCTTCTGGAGTACGGTATTTGACAAAGTGAACTTCGGGTCTTGGGTTGTTGTTGGCGCCGAGATTGTTAAGTTTGTTGGCCAAATCGTTGAGGTCCGTTTGTTTGTTGAGAACATAAATGGCCGTTTGCTGTTGGCCAGCTTGTTTGGCCAAAGCCAAGGCAGCATCTTCCAAACCGCGATTTTCAGGACCCTTAATGAAGATGACGCGAACTGATTTCTTCAAGGCACCAGCAGCTTGTTGAACAGCATTGGGATCAACGAAGTCATCTTCTGGAGCAGAGAATGTAAAGAATTCTTTGGTCAATTCGACGGCAGGTGGAGCTGTCAATGGTTGTGCACTATATGCCGGAGAACTAAGGCCACCAAAGTCAGAAGGTCCGGCCAGAGATGCTGCACCATACGATGGAACACTGAAGGCACCAAAATCAGAAGGACCAGTCAGAGATGCTGCACCATATGAGGGAGAACTGAAGACCCCAAAAGATGTTCCATCAAAACCTGTAGATGGTTGATAGTTGTAACCCGAATGGCCGGCACAAGCCGTGGCAACTAAACACAATACCTAGCGCAGTAGAATTGAAAGTGTTATAATTCATTCAATATATTTGGATTGATAAACTTACGATAAATGCACGCATCTTGTTATTCAATATTTTTGGTATATTTCGTTGTGAAATCAGCAGTGTAACTATGAATAGTAAACTTCTGCGACTTTATTTTATATGAACTTATGTTTTGTGGTTCGTCATCAATTTTGACATTTTTGTGACGTGACAGTAGAACCGGTAAGTTGTTTTTTGCAGTTTGTGTTTCAGTATGTTTGGCGTTTCTCTTGACTTCGTTTTTTTTTTAATTTTTGCAGATACAGTCCGCAATGGATAAATTGAAAATTATAACGAAAAATTTGATTATTGGGAGGAAATGGGTCTTAAGTAGAGCCGAGCTTTTTAATTTTTAATTTTCAATTTAATAGCTTAAACTTCACATCCTCCTAATCCTTAAATATATTCGGCCAAAACCCGATGGTTAACATAGTAATTCCCAATAACCTAAAAATCGTTTACATCAAAATATCAACACAAGAGTCTTCCGAATTAAAGATCAATATATTGAATTTCAAAGTATTTTCGATGGCAAATCGCCATCTGCTATATATTGTGGTAGACAATTGACAGTTTTTACCCACCTTTTTATGATTAATTAACAATATTTTTAGCATTACCGATATAAATCATTTCAATTTCCTTTATATTTGAATTGAAACATTAAGGTGATAGCTTCACATTTTTGTACGTACTGGCAAAATGTAGCCAAACTCCACTGTATTTCATATTGATATTCTGCCCTCGAGTGGGCGGTTTAAAATAAACCAATTTTAAATTTCGCAATGACTTTGTGCAAACAAATTGATGTTAGCTCTGATTCAGTATAATCTACCATCGATCGTTACATTTTCTATTAATTTGCCGGCTTTAAAAAAAACTACCAAAATAAAAACAATAATTACCATAAAAATTTAAAGTCAAATTCCTTAGAGGGTCATCCAATATCATCGCTTAGGCAATATATTTTTATTATGAATATTAATTATTTGCCATGGCCTTTGATTTTTTTTTTGATTTTTGTAAACAAAACTGTTTACCAAATAGAGAAAATGAACTCAGTTTATACGAGTTTCTCAAAAGCAAACCAATACAATGACCTCTGGAAATTCTTGACTACAGATCACAAATAAGAAAAAATTAAAAAAAGCTGTAAGTTTGGCCGGGCCTAACTTTGAATACCCTCCACCATTTGGAACAAATTTGGCAATTTTCAAAAAAATAAAATTCGTTAAAAATTCTGTTAAAATCTTAAAATAACGAGTGTAGCCGTTACTTTAGGGCCTATACGACGACATGGACCTGCATAGGCAACTTTTTTATGAAACTTTAAAAAAATCGGTGAATAATGTCGCTAAAATCATCAAAATACCGAATATCGGTGGTACCGTTAGATGGGGGCTATACGAAGACGTGGACCTGCTCAGACAATTTTCCGTCATAGGCTGTAGTATTCCTTACAATTCCGGAGAATATTGTCGCTAAAATCATCAAATATGGGGAGGTACGGTTATATGGGGTTACAGCCCCCAAGAAGTGGACAAGCACTGACAATCTTCTGTCATAGGCTATATTATACATTACGATCTTCAAATACCAAATTTAAAAAATTCCGGTGAATAATGTCGCTAAAGTCATCAAAGTACCGAATATTGGGTGCTATACCAAATCGTGGACCTACATGGCCCATTTTCAATACCAAAAAGTCCTGCAGATATAATACATTTGAGTGAAATTTTATCAACCTACTTCATTTCATTCGGAAGATAGAGTGATTTCCACAAACGGACAGACGGTCAGAAGGACCGACATCGCTAAATCGATATAGAATTTTATGCTGATCAGGAATATATATATATACTAGCTGAACCCGGTGCGCTTCGCTACCCCTTTTGATTTTATATGCATTCAACATTTTATTTACGAATATATGTTGGTTAAAAAAAAAAAAACAAATTTAAAAATTAAAAAAAAATTATTGCACTACTTTAACATGACATACATACACGAAGGGTTTGTCCTTCGGATTTATTTATTTCATAGCAAATACCAAGCGTGCAGTAAACTGCAATCTTTTGAAGTTGAGAGGTATATCTATTGCAATTAGTGAATTCGAGATCGCAACATACTTCGCCGTAATAAGCGTATTTCAAATCAATTGTGGTGTTGTTTTTTAGTGTTAGCCTAAGGCGTTGTGGGTCAATGGTTCTTATTAAAATCATATCCCAATCTGATTCGATTTAAATATAATTTAAAAAAAAATACTTTTACACCAAACTCCGCCACACCTTTCATATTTCATTGAAATTGGTGCGTCAAATATGTGAAATCGGCCGATAATATATATATGGGAGCTATATCCAAATCTTAACTAATTTCCAATTAATTTCTCACATTTATTATTGTAACTAAATTCCGCCACACTTTCTGAATTTCATTGGTATCGGTCATATATATCATGTTTGGTGCATAACATGTATGAAATCGGCCGAAATATATATGTTAGCTATATCCAAACCTCAACTGATTTCAATATAATTTGGCAATTTTTTCTGGTGTCAGATTTTGTCTCTCTCGCTTTGGGTGCATCAAATTTGTGAAAACGGCCTTAGTATATATATGGGAGCTATAATCAAATCTGAGCGTATTTGAATATAATTTGTCAAATTTATTTTTGTACCAAATTTAGCCACTCATGCCGAATTTCATTGGAATCGGAAATACGTATCGTGTTTTGTGCATCAAATATGTGAAATCGGCGCAAAATATATATGGGAGCTATATCCAAATCTGAACCGATTTTAATATAATTTGACAAATGTATATTTGTTTTAATTTCCGCTACACATTCCAAATTTCATTGAAATTAGAGATACATAGTGTGTTTGGTGCATCAAATACATGAAATCGGTCGAAAATGTATATGGGAGCTATATCCAAATCTGAACCGATTTCAATTTAATTTGACAAATTCATTTTGGCTCCCACTTCCGTTACTTATTTTAAATTTCATTACAATTGGAAATACATATCGTGTTTGGTCCACCAAATACATGAAATCGGCCGAAAATGTATATGGGAGCTATATCCAAATCTGAACCGATTTCAATATAATTTGGGAAATCAAGTTTTTAGATAAAATCTATCACACGTTTCTAATTTCACTGAAATTGGAGAAACATAGCGTGTTTGGTGCATCAAATGCTTGAAATCGGCCGAAAATATATATGGGAGCTATATCCAAATCTGAACCGATTTCAATATAATTTGACAAATCTATTTTCGGATTAAATCCCGTCACACATTCCAAATTTCATTGGAATCGAACATTCATATTGTGTTTGAGGCATCAAATGAACGAAATCGGTCGAAAATATATATGGGAGCTATATCCAAATCTGAACCGATTACAATATAATTTGGCAAACTTATTTTTGTTCCCAATTCCGTTACGTATTCCAAATTTGGAGATTGTATCTTCAACCAATCAATAGATATGTGCATATAAAATCAAAATTTTTGGGAGGTACCTCCGATTCTGATGCTATATCTCCAGTTCTAAGTGGAAATTCAAAAATGTATATAGCCTATGTTACATTCAGGCGATGTTGCAGTATATATGGAAATTTTCAGAAAAATCTATTCAGCGATTTTCAAGTCCATAAATTACAAACAAACATACAAACATTTTCCTCTTTTATAGATATAGATATATATATATATATATATATATATATATATATATATATATATATATATATATATATATATATATATATATATATATATAAACATATATATATATATATATATATATATATATATATATATATCTCGCTTCCTTTAAAAAACGTGAAGTTATCTAAAACTTATGACTCAATTCTCGTTTTTACAAACAGTAATAATGACATTTGGTTGATAAGACCACAAAATAATCATTGGTGATCCCATAAAAATCAAAGTCGATTTATTTGTATAGACTCACCCACATGTTCAGGGTGAGATGAAAAAACTGCAATCAAGTTCACACTGCTGTCATTTCTAAGTCACTCGTCCAACAGCTGTTAAAATTATTCCAGTGGCAGCTCATTATATTGTTTACAAGCGCACAAAAGCATTACGGTGAGAATTTTCCAGAAAAAAAGTTATTCCTGATGGACTTCAAGCGTGATAGTGTGATTTCTTTATATTTGGCTGGAAGACCACAAGTGGCTATCGTTAGAGCACTCCAGCATTTAAATGTGAATAAATCTTTTGTGTCTCGTAGCATCTCTCGTTATAGTGATACTGGTAGCGTAGCGACTTGATCGAAACCCGCGTCACAGTGGCCGAAAAATGGCTCGTGAGTTGAACATATCTCCATATTCCATTCGACAAATATTGAAAAATGAGCTCGGGGTAAGCCATAAAAATTCCAAAAAGTGCAGTAGTAATGACCAAATAAATCATTGGATATTGAAGAAGTGAGACCCGTGGTCTTTTTAAATGTCACCCATTTATCTTGAATTTTGAGCCACTTAGACAAATAGATTCCAAAAACTACAGCAATGATCAAAAAAAAAAAAAAACTTGGAAAACGTTAATAATCTTAAACCATGGAAGCCGATAATTCGACAGATTGTCTCTAGGTGTAAGCCAATAATTTGTTCACCGACTTTGCTATTACCAAATATATGTTAGATACCGCAATGTGGATTCATATTCAATAAATGACATAAACGGTGTGTATTCTCTGTTAATTAAGTTCATGACAAATTTCAGGAATAATGCTCTAGCTAAAAATTATAATTAATTATATTAAGTTTGTTATTCCGTTTGTAACACCTCGAAATATACATTTTCGACCCCACAAAAAAAAAAAAAAAAAAAAAAAAAAAAAAAAAAAAATATATATATATATATATATATATATATATATATATATATATATATATATATATATATGTATGTATATATATATATATATATATATCAGTCCGTCCGTCCGTCTGTCCATGTATTCTTGTAAACAAAATGCAGTTCGCATTTATTATCCGATTGATATGAAATTTTGCAAACAACATTTGTTTGGCCCAAGGACGAACCCTATTGAAATTGGAGGTAATCGGTAAAAATTTAGATATAGCTCCCATATATATCTTCGTCCGATTTGCTTTTTATTGTGCACCAAACGTTTAATATTAGCCCGAAATGCATGGAATTTTGCATATACATCCAAATTAGGCCTGAAAATATATATGCCAAATTTGATAGGTTCAGATATAGCTATAGCTCCCATATATATCGTTCATCCGATTTGTTATTTTTGTCCACCGCCGCCGTAATATGCACTATGCAACAACAATATTTGGGGAAATATATCAAATACAGCTCTGAAATACATTTGCTAAATTTTATCGAGATCGGTTCAGATTTGGATATAGCTCCCATATATAACTTCGTTCGATTTACCTTTTATTGTGCACCAAACGTCTAATATTTGTCCAAATGGGATGGAATTTGGCACTTACGACCGAATCGAGTCTAGAAGCTAGTATGTCAAATTTGGTGAAGATCGGTTCAGATATAGCTATAGCTTCCATATATATTATTCATCCGATTTGTTATATATGTTCCCCACAACCGTAATATGCACTTCGTAACAACGATATTCAGGGAAATATATCAAATACAGCTCAGAAATATCTTTGCCAAATTTTATCGAGATCGGTTCAGATTTGGATATAGCTCCCATATATATCTTTATCCGATTTCAAATTAATTGTGCACCAAATGGGCAATACAATTCCGAATTTAAAAGATACAAATGCTTCGGCATATTTAGTCCTTTGAAGTTTAAATTATAATTATAATCATAGCGTGTATGATTGTATAAAAACTTTTAATTGTTATGTGGAGCTCTACTTAATTAGCAAAGTGGTGTAGGGTATCATAAAGTCGGCCCCGCCCGACTTTAAGACTTTCTCTACTGGTTATTATTGTTTATTATTGGCCGCAACGGCTTACTTTGCCCAACACATCCCTTCAATATTAAATTTTGACAGTCAAAAATGTATTTCATCAAAGAAAGGTTATTAAGTAGCTATGGCCTTTCGTCGAAATCTGTTTATGACCCATTTCTTCTGGTACCTCTCCACAAAATGACTATATTTTTATACCCCCTACCATTCTATGGAGGGTATATCTGCTTTGTCAGAAGGCTAAACTTTTGCATACATGTGTAGTTTACTAGTAGGCAGGTTAAGTTCGTAAATAGACCATGTCGGTCCACGTTTTCGTATAGCCCCTACATAGCGGTACCTCCCGATATTCGGTATTTTCATGATTTTAGCGACATTATTTACCGGGATTATTTCAAATATCATGTTTGAAGTTCGTAATGGGTACTACAGCCTATGACAAAAATTTTTGTATGCTGGTCCACGTTTCGTTTATGCTCCATATAAGGGTACCTCCCGATATTCGGTATTTTAACAACATTATTCATATTTCAATCGTTTCAAATTTCGTATTGGCAGATCTTAATGGGTACTACAACCTATTGCAATATATTACGGTACCTTCCGATAATCGGTATTTTGATGATTTCAGCAACATTATTCACCGGAATCATTTCAAATTTCATAATGAAAAATCTTAATTGGTACGACAACCTATGGTAAAATATTTTGTTTGCAGGTCCATGTTTTCGTAAGCCCCCATATGGCGTTCAGTTACCGTCAAAGTTCGTATTTAAAGTTCGTAATGGGCACTACAGCCTGTCGTAAAAAAAATCGTATGTAGGTTCACGTTTTCGTGCATCCCCCATATAACGGTTTTCATTTAAGTGGTAGTTTTCGGAATTTTATTTAAAATTTTCCAAGTTACTTCCAAATGGTGGAGGGTATTAAAATTTGGGCCCGGCCGAGCTTAGCTGCTTTTTTACTTGTAAATAATAATAACTGTCGTAAAATTTGGAATCACTGACCGATTTTCTTTATTAGACCAACGTGAAAATTTCGTACATATATAATTTTCTTTAAAATAAAAAGTTTTTTTGTTTTTAATTTTTAACAACAATAAAATTGCATTAATAACACGTTCTTCTCTTCTAATAGCTTCGAAAAATATAACAACTTTTTTATAAACGTAGAACCATGGATGGTAAGTACTCATTGTTTTGTGAAGGAATATGGCTCACAACAGCTGAACTTTGCGTTGCAAAGTTGAGAACACCAGCAACCCCACCATTAATATTACGCGATTGTCCAGCGAATGAATCATATTGACTCTGAATGGTATGTTGGGCATGAATGGCCTCTTCAGCGGTGCGATATTTGACAAAGTGAACTTCAGGTCTGGTGGCCGATCCCTTCTGAATTGCATTAAATTTGTGCGCCAGTTCGCCAATGTCTGTTTGTTTGTTAAGAACATATACGGCAGTTTTTTGCTGGGCTGCTTGTTTGGCCAGATCCAAAGCAGCGTTTTCAAGGGCTTTGTTCTCTGGAGTTCTTATGAACACAACACGTAATTTTGGCTTAACACTTCCTGCAATGCGTTGTATCTCATTGGCATCGTAGAATTCTTCTTCTGGTGCAGAAAATGTGTAGAATTCTGTGTGGGGACTTGAAGAATGAAATGAATTGCTTGAGATTCCAGCATTGTTAGAAATCATATGGTTGCCGCCCGCACTTGTGGATGTATGGAGAGACTGATAATCGTAACCCATTTCACCGCCAAATGTCATGGCTACTATGGACAAAACCTATGAAAATAGAGAATATTGGTATAAAACATTACATATTTCTTAGATTGAAAATAAACTTACAATTATGACTTGCATTTTAGATTTATAAACCATTATTAATGATTGAAGTTCAATATTTGACTATATTTCACAGCGAAAATGAAAACTTTTATATCAAATTATCAACACCTAATTTCAGTATTTGTAGATAGTTTTTTTGTCACATTTCCCCCTGTTTCTCACTTCATTTTGAAGACCAATGGTCTTCCAAGTAATTAACATTGATCAGACGCCTTGAATCCATTATATCAAATAATTATTGCAACCCGTAGCATGTCGAAGCACACAAGTTTGATATCAGCACATTTTATTGAAAAATCATTTATCATTAACATTTTGCTAAACTTAGAAATTTGAAGCGGTCAATAAGTTTTTTGTTTATTATTTTTATTGTTATAATCCATCAAATATTGATAGACGTGTCATCAAATTAACCCAAATATTTGTATTTGGAATTTGACATGGTTTGTATATGCGGGAGAATACGATGGATATTTGGCATTATCAATTTCTTTTTTTTTTTCAAAATAACTTAACAATGTTACGGATAATATTTGATACATATTTAAATTTCAGAACCATTTAGAGCAATATTATGCAAAATGTGAGTGTAATCAATAATCTATACTAATAAAAGAGTAAAGTAATTGACTGATTGACTCAACTCCCCGATAAAGCTAGAATCTTGAAATTTTGGGTCCAAAGGGGTCAGATAGGATGGGTTTTTGGAAATTCGTACTAAAATGGGACAATAAGTATTAAAAGGTACTGACTATGGTACACTTTGCATTTGAGGAAGAAGTAGAGTTGGAACTCTTAAATGTGAAATTAAATTCACGGATACATAGAATGAGATAAAAACAAGTAAGCAAAGGCTATAGTCGCGCGGGGCCGACCATGTGATACCCTACAACACTACAATATGTTAGAAGCCCCTTAATGTCCATATCCATTTTGGAAGATTTCGCTCTTAAAATTATGTTACGGAGTACAACCCAGATATTACCCTTAGCATTATGAACAGGGACATTTGCCCAATATTTACGCACTCCGTCGTGCTGTTAGTTGTTTTGGTCCATTTTACAGCTAAATATAATCCAATGGTCATCCACAATGCTAGAATTCTTCCCTGTCCTTAACGCTCTTCTCAGGCGTGTCGAATGGCTTCAATTGTGTGATCAGGAATTTTCTTCCGTGCTTGGTCCATTTCAATCCCTAAATATATTGCGGACATCTTTGAAAACAATAGGCCTAGCCCTTCTGTGTATAACCCTACCCTTTCTCGTGAGGATCGGACGATAATTGTAATCTGTATATAATAACCCCAATCTGTGTTGTAAGGTGAAAAAATATTACAAAATATACATTTCAATACTAGTCAAATTGAAAAAATCGCATGCGATAAAATAAATGCAAAAATGTCACAAAATACTACAAAATCTATATTAACATAATTATTAGCATCTTTTAATGCGATTTTTTTAGATTTTATCCTTTTATGCCCAGAGGCCATTCTGAATTGACGAAAATTGTCGAAATCTGTCCAGCCATTCTTGAGATATAAGCATTCTTGCTAACATCCCCTTCCTTTGTATACACACATTGTACATATTTCGCTATATATATCCAATATATTTAATATCGGCGTCTACGTAACGGTCAGAATTGACCTGTTCGTCTATTTTTGATTTCGCCGATATTAAAAATATTCGCGGTTTAATGGAAAATTTGACTTTTATTTAAGACAAATGTTATGGTCTATTTCACCAACTAAATATTACCCGATGACCATCAAAATTGGAAGACTTCTGCCCAGTATTGAGCTCTAGCCCCATTCTAACTTCCACGTCGATTGGTCCATAATTGCGATCTGTAGAGCAACTGTAAAATCAAGAATATTTTCAGTTCCACCTACATTTTAAATTTCGTGAAGATCGGCCCATAATTGCGACCTGTAGAGTGATTACAAATTAACATGGACAGACGGACAGACGGACGGACGGACATACATAGCTAGATCGACTCAGCTCGGCGAGATAGGAAGATCCATATATACTTTCCTATGTGGGAAACCACTATTTCGTGGTGTTACATAATTTTTGGCTCAATCAAACTTATAATACCCCCAACACATAGTGTTGTAGGGTATAAAAACTGCAACAAAGTCAAACGACATAATTTTTACAGTTTTTTTTTTTTTAATTTTATTGAATGAACGCAAAAAAATCGGAAATAACATCAAATTTTAAGATAAGTTCAGATTTCTTCGAATTGGTCACCTTTTGGACGAATTATAGCCTTCAAACGGCCAATGAAACCGTCACACGCTGCCCGAATGTTGCTCTGCGATATTTTGGCCCACTCCCGGCGAAGATCTTGCATGAGATGATTGACGCATTGGTATTTTTTAGTGCCAACCGTGCTTTCCAAAATACTCCAGACACAATAGTCCAACGGATAGGAATTCGGAGACTTTGGTGGCCATTGTGTGCTGGAAATGAAGCAAGGAACCTCATTTTGTAATCATTCTTGGTTGGCGGGTGCTGAGTGCGATGAGTCCTGTTGAAATGTCCAAAGTCTGCGACCAAAATGTTTGCGTGCCCAAGGCTTTGGTACACAATCCAGAATATTTTCGCGATAATATCCGGCATTTATTCTGATGCCACGGTCGATTAATACGAGCGGAAAGCGACAATCGGCTGTTATGGCGGCCTACAACATCACCATGGCCGGCGCTTGAGTTCTGGTGGCCAACCGAAGGTGCACATACTCAGCTGACCCCTTTGGCAAGTATACACCATCATTTTGTTTGTTTACACACTGCTAGACAACGAATGTTTTCTCATCGGAGAAAACCAAATTCGTCAGTTCACCACTTTCGGCCAAGTGAAGTTACTCTTTAGTTCTTTTGAGTTTACTTTCTTTTTTTTCATCCATTTCCTTGATGTCGGGCTACGCCACCAGTATCTCGGCAACGAGCGATGGTACGAGATACAAAAGATTTATTCACATTTAAATGCTGGAGTGCTCTAACGATAGGCACTTGTGGTTTTCCAGCCAAATATAAAGAAATCGCACTATCACTATCATAAGAGTACGAAAATTACTAAAATGTACTACATTTGGTACCATTTCGAATCATGAGAAAGGTAAGAGTTAAGAATTTGAAATTTAAAATCGGAATCAATGATTAGGAATTACGTCGAAGTGCGTACTCATATACATGAAAAGTACTAAAAGGTACTATATTTAGGACAATTCGAATTTGGAGAATTTTGGAGGAGCTGGAATCTTGAAATTTGAAATTAACTTTACTGGCGAGTGTAGGATTGGTATATGGAGGGAGTTTTCGAAATATGTACTTATGTGCGCGGAAAGTACTAAATGGTATTAAATTTGGTACAAATTTAATTTGTAAACCGATGGAGCTAAAATTCTGAAATTTGAGGTATGTACGTAGCTTTGGAAATTAGTACTTATGTGCACTAAATATTACTTAATTTGGTACATTTTAGATTTGGATGAACCAATGGAGTTAGTATCCTGAAATTTGGGAATAATATTGTTGTCGGCGTGTAAAAATGAGATATAGAGGTAGTAATGGCAATTTGTTCTTATGTGTACTAAATTTGGGACAATTTGAATTTTTAGGAACTGGAATCCTGACATTTTAAATTAACATTTCTGGCGAGAGTAGGATTGGGATATGGAGGAAGTTTTCGAAATTTGTACTTATATGCATGAAATGTATTAAATTTGGTGCAATTTTTATTTGAGTGAAAGGATAGAATTTGGAAATAAGATTTCTATTTCATTCTAGGACTGATGTATGTAGGTAGTCTTGGAAATTCGTACTTAACGGTATTAAATTTTATATAATTTAAATTCTGAAAGAACCGGTGGAGATGAAATCCTGAAATTTGGAAATAAAATTTCTATGGAGTTGTATTGTACTTATGTGTACTATATTTGCCATAAATTGAGTTGTAGAAATACAGTTTCTATGAGATTGAATGATTGAGGTTCGAAGGCAGTTTTGGAAATTTAGATTCCAGGATTGGGGTATTTACAAAGTTTTGAAAAGTCGTACTTATGTGATTTTTGTGAACCGATAGAGCTGGAGTCCCAAAATTTGATATTTAGGTCACTGTTTTCGTTCGTGGTAAGATATGGAAGTGGTTTTGGAAATGTGTACTAAAATCGTACGAAAAGTACAAAAAATAACTATTTTGGTATTGCGTGATGGAAAGGGAAGGTGAAGAGCTGAAAACTTGAAATTTGATATGGATGTCACTGTTGGTGTCTATGGTTGAGAGAAGGAGGTGTCGTTTTGTGTGGGATAGAGATGGAATTCTCAAATTTGATCTCGGTCAATATTGATGCCTGGGGTGGCGAGAAGGAGGTGGTTTTGGACATGCGCCGTATAACTGTACGCAAAGTATAGTAATAAATTTGGGACCTGCACAGAAAATTTTCTGTCTTAAGCTGTGGTATCCGTTACGAACCTAATTTATACCTAATTTAAAACAATTCCGGTGAATAATAATACCGAACATGTAAGCAAAGGCTATAGTCGTGCGGGGCCGACCATGTGATAGCCTACAACACTGCAATATGTTAAAAGCCCCCTTATGACCAAATCCATATTGGAAGATTTAGCTTTTGAAACTAGAAAATTTTTGGAATTAGTGTCCTTTTGAAATTAGGATTTGGAATGTCCCTAGTCATTTGCCCAATATTTGTGCACTCGGTCGTTCTGTTGGTTGTTTTAGTCGATTTTACAGCTAAATATAATCCAATGGTCATCCAAAATGTTAGAATTCTTCCCTGTCCTTAACACTCTTGCGTGTCGATGGGCTTCAATTGTGTGATCGGAAAAACATTTCTGTTTTTGGTTAATTTGAACCCCTAAATATTTTGCAATCATCTCCAAAAGCAAGAAGCTCCTCTGTATCTCCAAATTTAGACTCATCTATTTGATTTGCTTGTCTACGATATTTGGCTATATTCGTCAACGAAATCAGCATAAAAAAGCCAGAAGTTCGCCTTTTGTGTATTTCGGATATCGCCTGTAAGTAATGTTTGTATTTTTTTTTCACACAAAATTAGTGGCCCATTGTACCCGCTGTCCTTAACTCTAACTTTATGCGAGATTTCATGTCCTTTGGTTTCTATTTGTGACCTTTATAACGGCTGCACAATCAGGAACATTTTTAGTTGGTGGTCCATTTCAACCCCTAAATGTATTGCGGACATGTTTGACCAAAATAGGTCTAGCCCTTCTGAGCCTAACCCTACCCTTGTGAAAATTTTCGTGAGGATCGGACGATATTTGCAATCCTTATATAATAACCCCAACCTGCGTTATTAGGTGAAAAAATATTACAAAATATTATGAGTCAAATTGAAAAAATCGCATGCAATAAAAAATATGAAAAAATAAAACAAGTAAAAAAGCTGTAAGTTCGGCCGGGCCGAACTTTTAATACCCTCCACCATTTGGTACAAATTTGGAAATTTCCAAAAAATAAAATCCGTTAAAAATTCTGTTAATATCTTAAGAATTCCGAATGCTTATACGACGACGTGGGCCTGCATTGGCAACTTTTGTCATAAGTTATTACAATATTAAAATGCGAAACTTGAAGAAAAATCTGTTTATAATGTAGCTAAAATCATTAAAATACCGTATAGGGGGGTACCGTTATATGGGGGTTATACGAAGACGTGGACCTGCACAGACAATTTTCTGGCATGGGCTGAAGTATCCATTACGACCTTCACATGCCGTATTTGAAACAATCCCGATAAATAATGTCGCTAAAATCATCAACATACCAAATATCGGGGGGTACGGTATATGGGGGCTATATGAAGACTTGGACCTATATGGCCCATTTTCTGTTTTATGCTGCAGTATCTATTACGAACTTCAAATACCAAATTTGGAACGATTTCGATAAATAATGTCGCTAATATCATCAAAATACCGAATATCGGGGGCTACCGTTATATGGCTCATTTTTTGACTTAGGATTACGAATCCATTACGAACTTCAAATACCAAATTTGGAACGATTCCGTTAAATAATGTCGCTAAAATCATCAAAATAACGAATATCGGGAGGTACCGTTATATGGGGGCTATATGATTTCTTGGACCTACATGACCCATTTACGAACTTAACCTGCCTACTGGCAATATATACATGTGTGCAAAATGTTAGCCTTCTATCTCTATTTGTTCTAAAGATAGCGTGATTACAACAGACAGACAGACAGACGGACAGACAAACAGACAGACAGATAGACAGACACACAGACAGACAGACGGATATGGCTAAATCGTCTTAGAATTTTACGCTGATCAAGAATATATATACTTTGTTGGGTCTGGCATGAGTATTTCAAGGAGTTACAAACGGAATGACAAAATTAATATACCCTCCATAGTATGGTGGAGGGTATAAAAATGTCACAAAATACAACAAAATCTATATAAACATAATTATTAGCATCTGTTTCAGCAACTTTTTTAGATTTTATGCTTTCATGTCAAGAGGGCATTCTGAATTGACAAAATTTGTCAAAATCGGTCCAGCCATTCTTCAGATATAATCATTCTAGCTAACATCCCCTTTCTTTGCATATACACATTGTATAAATTTCGCTATATACATCCGATAAGTTGCTATCGGCATCTACGTAACGGTCAGAATTGTCCTGTTCGTCTGTTTGTGATTTCGATGGGATTAAAAATATTCGCGGTTTAATGGAAAATTTGACTTTTATTTAACACAAATGTTGTGGCCTATTTCACCTGCTAACTATTCCCCGATGACCATCAAAATTGGAAGGCTTCTGCCCAGGCCTAGGCTCTAGCGCCATGCTAACTTCCGCTTTGATTGGTCTATAATTGCGACCTGTAGAGCAACTGCAAAATCAGGAAAATTTTCAGTTTTTGGTCCATTTCAACCCCTAAATATTATGCGATCATCTCCAAAAGAAATAGGTTTCTATTCTGACCCTAGCCCCACCTCCATTCTAAATTCCGTGAAGATCGGGCCGAAATGCGACCTGTAGAGTGATTACAAATTAACATGGACAGACGGACGGACATACATAGCAAAATCGACTCAGCTCGGCGAGATAGGAAGATCCATATATATTTTCTTATGTGGGAAACCAATATTTTGATGTATTACATAATTTTTGGTCCAATCAAACTTATAATACCCCCAACACATAGTGTTGTAGGGTATAAAAAGGGAGGTACCATTATATAGGGGCAATACCAAAACGTTTACCTACATAGCCAATTTTCAATACCAAAAGTCCTCCAGACATAATATACATTTGAGTAAAATTTTATCAATCTACTTCAATTCGTTCGGAAGCTAGTGTGATTTTCACAGACGGACATCGCTAAATCGACATAGAATGTTATGCTGATCAATAATATATATATATACTTTGTGGGTTCTGAAATGTATATTTCGGGGTGTTACAAACGGAATGACAAACATAATATACCCTCCATACTATGGTGGAAGGCGTAAAAATACTGTTAAAAACAGGCTGTTAGGGTAGAGCTCGAATTTTGAAATTTGATATGGAGTCCACTGTTGGGATATAGTTTTGAACAAATTGAACATTATGAGTACTAAAATGAAATGGGAGAAAGAATCTAATAGTTTAGGGTGGACTTTTCGCTGACGAAGAAGCTGGCACTTGCGTTGAGGACCCTAACAATAAATGTACTCTCATGCAAAAACTCTGAAAAAAACAAGGAAAATTTAAAATAAAAATTTGTTGTCTTTTTTTGATTCATTTTGAAATTTGATAAAGTATATTGTTGTTCCTGACGTAATACTGCTAATTCGTTACTTTGGACGCATTTAAAATGTGTTTAAAATATTTTTGGGTTTCTGGTATTTATATATGAATTTCGATATGTTTTTTAACCTACAGTAGAGTTTTATGACAAATAATATTAAACAATATTTTAGCTAGTTCTAGTTTCGCTAGTTCTAGTTTCCGAAATTTCAAAAAAATACGACAGAAAGAAGACCTTCCCCCCTGTATTGTCCTGGCATGGGTCCAATGGAACGGCATTAAAATTACATTTTTAAAATATTTATTTCTTTACCTATTTTCTTAACTAAAGCTAAACAAAGAATCAACAATAACAACAACATTTCTTTGGTATTAACAATGTAGCATTCAATGACGGAACACAGATGGAGGCAAGTAAGTGTTTTGTGGATCTTGAACTGGAGGGCTGCGAAGGTCAACAGGAAGTTGGCCAGTATAGTCAATAACTGGAGCAACACCACCATTAACACTGCGAGAGTTACCTCCCAAAGCGTCATATTGACCTTGAATAGCGCGTTGGGCGTTGGCAGCATCTTGTGGGGTACGGTATTTGACAAAGTGAACTTCGGGCTTTTGGCTGTTACCAGTGTTAAGGTTGTTAAGTTTGTTAGCCAAATCACCGAGATCGGCTTGTTTGTTGAGAACATAGATGGCAGTTTGTTGTTGACCAGCCTGTTTGGCCAAAGCAAGGGCGGCATTTTCAAGTCCTTGATTTTCGGGACCTTTAATGAAAATTACGCGCAAAGCTTTCTTAACACTTTCAGCAGCACGTTGTGCGGCATTGCTATCTCCGAATTCACCTTCGGGAGCAGAAAAGGAATAGAATTCCTTTTCGTATTCAGCAGCTGGAGCATTATGTGTCGAGGGAACACCATAAGAGGCAGCAGGAGTACCAGCACCACCGTTGGAGGGGCCAGAAGATTGATAGTTGTAACCCAAATGGTCGGCACAAGCGACAGCTACCAAACACAATACCTACAAAAGAAATCAAAAATGGAAATAGTAACTTTGTCCACATTCGTTCAGTTTTTAATTTAAACTTACAACAAAAGCACGCATTTTTTCTAGATTCTTGCCTTATTTCTTGAACTCTGAACAGTTTCTGTTTATAATAATCTGTGTCAACGATCTTATATTTATATTTACCTCCAGACCACTAGCAATTGGAATGGTAGGGCGTTTGTTGTTCACCCAGTTTTTGGAATTATGGGCGTTATGCTAAAAGTTCATTGGAACAAGTTAATGAGGTAACATGTTTTATGTTACCTGTATGGAATTTAGGCCCAACACCTAATGTATGATCACCATAAACAAGTTTTCAATGTAATATAATTGAGATGTTAGGAATTTTGTTCATCTCATGTATAAATTCATTTCAGCACCAACTGTTGAATTGTAAATTAAGTTATATTTTAACGACCCAAAGTAAATAAAGAGGTATAGGAAATTTCATTAAAGAAGAAACCCAAAAGCAATCTTGAAAAAATCTAATATATTCCCAAAATATGCGTTTTGTAAAAATTCGCACCTACCCACGATCTGAGTCAATGATATGTTATTTCTGTGTAACGATACAAAAGAATAAAATAAGTTTAATTTGTGTTTTCCAAATTAAATAAAAATTGAACAAGTTAAAAAGTATGAGTTGTTGTGGCCGACAGATGTACAGGGTGAGATGAAAAAGCGGCAACCAACATCAGTCTGCTGTCATTTCTAAGCCACACGTCCGAAAGCTGTTAAAATTATTCCAGTGGCAGCTCATTATATAATTTTTACAAGCGTACAAAAGCATTTTGGTGAAAATTTAAGTGTGATTTCTTTATATTTGTCTGGAAAACCACAAGTGGCCGTCGTTAGAGCTCTCCAGCATTCAAATGTGAATAAATCTTTTGTGTCTCGTACCATCGCTCGTTACCGTGACACTGGAAGAGTAGCCCGACGTCAAGGAAGTTGACGGAAGAAAACAGCAACATCAGCAGAAATGGTTGGAAAAATAAAGAAGCGACTTGATCGAAACCCGCGTCGCAGTGGCCGGAAAATGGCTCGTGAGCTAAACATATCTCAATATTCCATTCGGCAAATATTGAAAAATGAGCTTACCCCAAGCCATTGAATTTCCAAAAAGTGCAAAAGGGCTAAAGAGTTGCTTCTCTTGGCCCAAAGTGGAGAACTGCCGAATTTGGTTTTCTCCGATGAGAAAACATTCGTTGTCCAGCAGTTTGTAAACAAACAAAATGATCGTGTTTACTTGCCACCAGAACTCAAGCGCCGACCATGGTGATGGTGTGGGCCGCCATAACAGCCGCTGGTCGCTCTCCGCTCGTATTTATCGATGGCATCAGAATAAATGCCGAATATTATCGCGAAAATATTTTGGAGGGTATATTAAAGTCTAGGGCACGCAAACATTTTGGCCGCAGACCTTGGACATTCCAACAGGACTCAGAACCACCGCACTCAGCACGCGCCAACCAAAATTGGTTACATAATTAGGTTTCTCGCCTTATCTCGCCAGCGCACAATGGTCACCAAGATCTCAATCCGTAGGACTATTGTGTCTGGAGTATTTTGGAAAGCAAGGTTGGCACTAAATAATCGCCGGGAATGGGCCAAAATACCGCAGAGCAACATTCGGGCAGCGTGTGACTGTTTCATTGGCCGTTTGAAGGCCATAAGTCGTGGCAAGGGTGACCAATTTGAACAAATCTAAATATATTTTGAAATTTGATGCTATTTTCGACATTTTTGGTTTCATTCAATAAAATTAAAAAAAAAAAATGTAAAAATTGTGCGTTTGACTTTCTTGCGTTTTTGTTTATCTCACCCTGTTTATCCTCAGCTAATGTTCGTAATATGTATATTGACCGTTCATGGCGGTGGTTTTGAAGGAGTGGGTAAATATTGTCCATTTCGAATATGACCTCAGTTTGATATAAATATTACAACGTGCCAGATTTTTACTATATCGACTACTTCCTTCACTTTATATGAGATATGTACCCATATGAATTTGTACCCGTTGTAGGGGAGGTACCGGAAGGAGTAATCCGATATATTCCGTCTTCACATCAAAGTTTGTGATAATAAATTTGATGACAATTTTACCATTGTTTTTTTTTTTTTTTTTTTGTTTCTAGGCTGACTGATTCTGGGTCGTGGCATTGTTGGAGTAGAAAAATGATGTTTTACACAAGATTTTACTTCAGATAATTTCGGTGGGATTTAAATATGGTCTCAAACTCAAAAGATCGTTGAAGATTCGAAAAATACTACATGCAATGCCTATTGAATTTCCAACCATGTTATCCATATGAACAAAAACCCAATACATTTTCTGTCAAAGATTTCTTTTAATTCACACTATTAGTAAATATTGTTATTAAAAATATTTCAAAACATTTTTAGTATTGAAGGAAGATGTATTTGATAATAATGCAAAACAAGTGAAAGGGGCGTTAAGTCCGGCCGGTATCAACTTTTAATACAATCCACCATTTGAAATAATCCACGTTTTAAGATGAAAAATTTACAGAAAAGCAAAATTTACAAAAAAAATAACAAGTAAAAAAGTTCTGCCGGGCCGAACTTTAAATACCATTTTGAACGAATTTGGCAATTTTCCAAAAAAATAAAGTCAGTAAAAACTTCTGTAAAAATTTTAAAAATACAGAAATTAGCCGTCTGTATAACGAGGAAAACCTGCACAGGCAAGTTTTGCTTTCGAAATTTTTACAAAAACGCTTGAATGCGAACAATTCCAGTGAAAGTCTGTAAATGGAAATATTGAACTTCTGTTATCATTTTCTGGATTTAAAATTAAAATTTTGAAAATTCCAATTGTAATTTCTGAATTTTAATTGCAATGTTCTTAAATGTATTATACGTATTTTAAATACCATTTTTTCTACCCTCCACCATACTATGGAGGGTATATTAATTTTGTCATTCCGTTTGTAACTCCTCGAAATACTCATGTCAGACCCAACAAAGTATATATATTCTTGATCAGCGTAAAATTCTAAGACGATTTACCCCTGTACGTCTGTGTGTCTGTCTGTCTGTCTCTTGTAATCACGCTAATCTTTCGAACAAATTGAGATAGAAGGCTAAAATTTTGCACACATGTATATTTTGCCAGTAGGCAGGTTAACTTCGTAAATGGGCCATGTAGGTCTAAGTTATCATATAGCCCCCGTATAACGGTACCTCCCGATATTCGGTATTTTGATGATTTTAGCGACATTTTTCACCGGAATTGTTTCAAATTTGGCATTTGAAGTTCGTAGAGGATACTACAGCATAAAACAGAAAATGGGCCATGTAGGTCCACGTCTTCGTATAGCCCCCATATACCGTACCCCCCGATATTCGGTATTTTGATGATTTTAGCGACATTATTTACCGGGATTGTTTCAAATTTCGCATGTGAAGTTCGTAATGGATACTTCAGCCCATGCCAGAAAATTGTCTGTGCAGGTCCACGTCTTCGTATATCCCCCATATAACGGTACCCCCTATATTCGGTGTTTTGATGATTTTAGCTACATTATAAACAGATTTTTCTTCAAGTTTCGCATTAATATATTGTAATAACTTATGACAAAAGTTGCCTATGCAGGTCCACGTCGTCGTATAGGCATTCGGTATTTTTAAGATTTTAACAGAATTTTTAACGGATTTTATTATTATTTTTTTTTTTTTTTGGAAATTGTTAAATTTGTACCAAATGGTGGGGGGTATTAAAAGTTCGGCCCGGCCAAAGTTACAGCTTTTTTACTTGTTGAATTTCAAATAAAATGTCTGTATTTTCTGCATTTCAAGAAGAATTCCTAAATAATAATTGGTATTTTCTGAATTATAGTTGAGAATGGTGTAGTTTTTCAACACCAATCGGAGCTATTAGGATGCTTGGAAGAACTTTGTCGAAAAGTCGTTGTGGGCTTTTAGCAGACAATTTAGATGAAATGCATTAACGATTATAAAACCTTAAAGTAGTCTATATGGTCTTTACTAAATAAAATGAAATAAATTTATGGTTGTATATATAAGAAATTTATTTAAACAAAAAAACATAAAAGTAGTCAACAATTACAATATATATTTGGTTTTTTAGCTGAGCAGTTTTAGTAACGGAAAACCGATGTTGGCAAATAAGCATTTCGTGGAACTTGTGGGTTGGCGCCGCCGACAGCTGTAGGGGCAGAAGCAAAGTTAAGAACGGGTGCAACACCACCATTAATGCTATGTGAGTTGCCAGCCAGTGAATCGTATTGGCCTTGGATGGCACGTTGAGCATTGGCTGCATCTTCTGCGGTACGATATTTGACAAAGTGAACTTCAGGTTTTTGCTGCTTGCCAGTGTTAAGGTTGTTTAGTTTGTTGGCCAAATCTCCGATGTCAGCCTGTTTGTTGAGAACATAGATGGCAGTCTGTTGTTGGGCAGCCTGTTTAGCCAGAGCAAGAGCGGCATTTTCAAGACCTTGATTTTCGGGACCCTTGATGAATATGACACGAAGAGCTTTCTTAACACTTTCGACCGCACGTTGAGCAGCATTGCTATCATTGAATTCACCTTCAGGAGCAGAGAATGAATAGAATTCCTTTTCATATCCAGCAACTGGAGCGGAATGGCTGGTAGCAGCATCATGGGATGCTGCTGCGGGAGCAAGACTACCTGATCCCGGTGAGAAAGAGAGCCCGCTGTCTGAGTGGGCCACAGGTTGATAGTTGTAACCCAATTTGTCGGCACATACCACACCAACCAAACATAAAACCTATCGAGTAAAATAAAAAACAAAGAATTACATTTAGTTAATGATGTAAAGGACATTTGACCTCCCATGTTGAAACTTACAATAAAAGCACGCATTTTGAGTTTAAGAAATTAACTATTTGAAGTGAATATCTGTTCTGACAATATTTCCCATAGTTACAACATCTTTTATTTATACCAAAGAATGGCTCTCCGAATGTCTACCTTCATGCCAGGTAAATATACTGGAGAATTACCTGCATGACCACCTACAAGTCACCGGATAACTAATTATCAACCCAACAAGTGGCCACTGCACAAATCTTCCATCTATGAAGTTCATACAACTTTGACCCTAACAGAGTCTTAACTTGTTTGGTAATTTATGCAGTCTCTAAACGATACGCTTTATAACTTACAACCTCCCTTTTTAAGTTGACTACCTTTCGTTGTAAACTTGTCATAACTGTTTTCTGTAAGAAATGCATGTATAATTTAATAAATTTTGGTTTCGTTTTCCAAATTAGCTATTTTTAGACAATTGATTGGTGTAAAAACCCCAAATGGCTCTTAAAACATTTTTGGTAATTAACATTTTTCGTGTATCTTGTTTTAGTCGATCTTTCTGCTATGTAGGTCAATATAAGTTTATTGAACTTACTTTTTTTTATTTATGTCATCAAGAATTCGGAAATCGGAATCTTCATTTTTGGTAAACAGCGGCGACATCAGTTAGTCTTTGTAGTCTGGCGCCAAACAAATTCTACGACAAGGTTAGATATGAATCTAATTCTTGTTTTTTGTTCTTCCTTTTGTGGAACAAGCAGACGGGTTGTTGTGTTTTGTTTCACTTTCGTTCAAGTTTTTGTTCGATACTGATAATCATGCTGGCGGGTTCTTTACTACTGGCATTAATTAACAATAATTATTAATTAAGTCTTCTTTTGTGTTGCAAACATTGGATCAAAGATAATCGATTTAAAATTGTTCTGTATGTGTCAGTACAGAACACAAATGGAAGACATTAGGTTTGTTTTTTGCCCTCCAACAATGTAATCATTCCAATTGTAAATATTTAAAATATTCAATTTAGATCCATCCATCCATGTTTGTTTGGGATACCGTAGTATTTTGTTGTTGCAAAAATCGTCAGGCTTAATCCCATTATTGTTGTTTTTATAAAACAACATTTGTTTATTAGTGGAGAACGATGGTAATGTTTACCAGGGGGTAAGGCAGGGAATACCTAGGTTTCGGAAAGAGCCACCAATCTTCATCAGTTCCCTTGTTTTTTGCCTGGGATATTCTCCCTAGAAGTAATTTAAAATAACTCCTATGACAAAAAACTTTTTTACCCTAGTGACGAGGTCGTAAGCTCAATAGAAGAAGAACCAAAGAATTATATAAAACTAACATTGTTTTGGAAAATCTTCTAAATTTTACAACCGCACTTATAAGCATTTACAACTTTCTTCACTTGTTATGCTTTCGTTTAAATTTACCAACTCGATCTGAATATGTCGGCCGGTCAGAATGCAGATGCGGTTCGAGAATGGATTGTATTGCTAAACTATTTCCTTTCCCGGTTTAGGGTATTTTGATAATTTTAGTGAAATTTGTAATAAATATATACACCATTCCAGATTTTAGTATAGACGCCCATATCACAGGATCAGTTATTTCATAATTATATGGTTTCTAAAGGTTCAATTAGGTGTGTCATAACCATAACCATACAGGGTGAGATGAAAAAACTGCAACCAACTTCAGACTGCTGTCCTTTCTAAGCCACTAGTCCGACAGTTGTTAGAATTATTCCAGTGACAGCTCATTATATTGCTTACAAACGTACAAAAGCATTCATTTCGCTTCATTTCCAGCGCACAATGGCCACCAAAATCTCCGGATACTAATCCGTTGGACTATTGTGTCTGTGGTATATTGGAAAGCAAGGTTGGCACTGAAAAATACCAAAGTGTCGATCACCTCAAGCAAGCGCTTCGCCGTGAATGGGCCAAAATACCGCAGAGCAACATTTGGGCAGCGTGATACGGTTTGATTGGCCGTTTGAAGGCCATAATTCATGCCAAAGGTGACCAATTCGAACAAATCTAAACTTATTTTAAAATTTCCGACATTTTTTGCTTTCATTCAATAAATTAAAAAAAAAAAAACAAGTTAAAAAGCTGTAAGTTCGGCCGGGCCGAACTTTGAATACCCTCCACCATTTGGAACGAATTTTGAAATAAAATCCTGAAAAAACTTCGGTAAAATTTTAAAAATACCGAATATTGCCGTTATATTGGTGCCTATACGACGTGGACTCACACAGGCATTATTTGTCATAAGTCATTACCAAATTCAAATTCGGAACTTGAAATAAACGCGAATAATGTAGCTAAAATCATCAAAGTATAGAATATAGGGAGGTACCGTTATATCGGAGCTGTGCGAAAACCAGAACCTGCGTAGACAATTTTTTTGTCATATTCTGTAGCATCCATTACGAACTTCAAATACGACATTCCAAACAACTTCGATGAGTATTGTACCTAAACTCGTCAAAATACCGAATATAGGGAGGTACTGCTATATGGGGCCTATACAAAGACCTGGGCCTGCATAGACATTTTTTTTTCACAGACTGGAGTTTCCATTGCGAACTCTAAATGCATAATTTGAAAAAATTTTGGTGAATAACGACGCTAAAATCACCAAAATACCGAATATCGGGAGGTACCGTTATATGGGGGTTATACGAAGACGTGGACCTGCAAAGACAATTTTCTGTCATAGGCTGTAGTATCCAATGCGAACTTCAAATACCAAATTTTTAACAATTCCGATTAATAATGTCACTAAAATCATCAAAATACTAAATATAGGGAGGTACAGTTATATGGGGGCTATACGAAGACGTGAACCTGCACAGACAATTTTCTGTCTTAGGCTGTAGTATCCATTTCGAACTTCAAATAGCAAATTTGAAACAATTCAGGTGAATAATGTCGCTAAAATCATCAAAATACGGAATGTCGGGAGGTACCGTTATATAGGGGCTATATGAAAACGTGAACCTACATGGCCCATTTACGAACTTAACCTGCCTACTGTAAAAATAAACCTGTGTGCAAAATTTTAGCCTTGTATCTCAATTCGTTCGAAAGATTTTAACAGACAGACGGATAGACAGACAGACGGACAGACAGACATACAGACAGACGGACATGGCTAAATCGACTTAGAATTTTACGCTGAATATATATACTTTGTTGGGTCTGACATGAGTATTTCGAGCAGTTACAAACGGAATGACAATGTTAATATACCCTCCATAGTATGGTGGAGGGTATAAAAATGTAAAAATTATGGCGTTTGACTTTGTTTCAGTATTTTTTTATCTAACCTGCATATGTCATAGTTAGGCAACTCATAACTCGAGAACGGCTGGACGGATATTTACAATTTACACGATGTCAGAATTACATTTGGCTGAAAATAATAAAATGTAAACAAATCACAATAAAAATGTGATTTTTTCCGTAATATATTCTGGTATTCTTTATTTTTGTCATAATTTTTATCGCATTCGATTTTTTCTGAATTTGACTTGTAATATTGAATTGCTTTACTTCTCAAAAATTAGAGATCGAACCCTGATATTTCGAATCTTTTTTTATTATTTTCAGAATATCTTGAGGAATTCGTTCGACTATTACGCCTATATTATTTGCACCGTATATTATAGTGTAGTAGGGGATTAAACGGCCCCGGTCGACTGTAGCTTTTGCTTACTTCTTTTTCCTTTTTTAAATAATTTAATAACAATCTTTGTGCAAGATTTCAATATCATTTCGTACTTCTCAATAGTAGGTATTTAAACGGTATATAACTTACAAGTTTTTCAAAACCATTTTCTTCTACAGCTTACATTAACCCTCCCCACCACCATCGATTTTAATGCCGACTTTCAAAAAGCTAAACTTTGTTGAAATATCACAAAAATTAAGAGAGAGCTACTTTCCGCATGTGCCAGTCTGACTCGTAGACAATTAGATTTAACTTGTAAACACTTACCCTGAAACTGATGTTTATTATAATGTATTTTGGATGTGATATGATTGTTCGAAATGTTGACCCTTTATAGAGGAATTACCGAATAATTAGGCCAATATTGTTCATATTTACATGAAATATATTGGTCAAATTGCTGACTTGTTTCGCATGTTATGACACATAAAATTATGTAAAATTGTGACCTCTTGGGAGAGGTATCAGAAAGAGTGGGCCAAAAATCCCCATATTCGTTTCAGATCTGGTGCTGGAAAAGATATTAAGATGTACTAATTTTAAGAGTAATATTATCAAAGATTTTACCAGTTGTGGGCGAAGTACCAGAAGGAGTGATCCGATCTGTATCATCAAAATCTGAGATTTGTGTTGTGATGTGTCCAGTTTAATATAATCGAATGTTTAAATTCCTGAAATGGAGTTAGGGTCTTAAACCATTATTTCTATAAAGCACGTTTTGGCGTATCAAATGATATCATTTTCTAAGTTATGATCTATTAGCCTTGTTGGAACACCATTCCCCCGTAGGAGGATGTATTAAGTTCGTCATTCCGTTTGTGACTCATCGAAAAAAGCATATATATTCTTTATCAGTTTCAAATTCTAAGTTGATAGCAATGCACATTTGTCTTTCCTTCTGTCCATTCTTCCTAATAACTCTAGAGTCTGAAGACCTTTTTGCAGCTTAGATTGTGAAAAGAGTTTTCTTTAAACTGCAGACAGTTCACGTTCGATTATGGGCTTTATTTATCATCTATATCGACTATTTTAGTATCAATCAATACAATTGAGAAGTTTGCAATGGGAACCAATGCCTCTGCAAGAATGTTTTTGAATATCTCCAATATAATTCCAACTCTCGTTATCCCGTATATCCTTGATGAGCTTTAGATGAGCTCAATTTTGCATGGGTGAGGATCAGAAGAAGTGGGTCTCATTAGCACATGTTTACACCTGGTCTATGCCTCGTACAAATATTAAATTTTGCAAATTTTCAAAATCATGCTATTTTTTATATGCTCATCTTTTGTGACGACGGTGCCAGAAAGAGCTACAAATTTGGACCTAGGAAGTTCTACTTTTCATGAGTCAAATTTACACCCAGATAACCAGACAGACTGCCGAATATCGCTAAATCGACTACAAATATTGAGAAACGATGACGCATTTAATGACATATAAAAGAGAAATTTTGGGTTGGGCCGAACGCTCTATACTAAAATAAATGAAAATTTTAATTTCGCTGGAAAATTTGATAAAATCACATAAAATTGGGGCTAATGTACTATTCAAAATTTATTATTTTAGAGTTGTTAATATACACAATAAGTAAACATTTTAGTCGAATTTCCATATCTCATAACTATCATTGCATTAGACGCTTTATTTACCATCGCTCTCACAAATGTTGTCTTGCAAAAAACAGTGGTCAACATTTATTATTGCATAAATAATAAAATGTATATAAATAACAATCAATTTTTTGCATATCATTTGTCCGTCACTCACTAATTAAGATAGCAAACAAACAAAATTAGAAACGACAAAAACTAACAACTACAATTGATCAGATTTATTTGTGTGGAAACAAAAATGCACATAAAATATTTCAAATGTTTAAAATATGAACTGTCAACTTTTTATAATAACAAAATATTAAAATAAAAATAAAAAACAAAATACATCAATGTACTATTCCGACAAAGACAAAACAAAAACAAACGGTCTGTGTTTGAAATTAGGCTAAAGAATTGTTTTCATAATTTTGGCCGTATAAAAGGCGTGCGCCACCGGCAGTGGATCAAACACAAACTAACATTCTTTCACAACAGTAGATCAGCTAAAAAATAGAATATGCGTGCCTTCATTGTTCTGTGCTTAGTGGCTGTGGCCTGTGCCGATAAATTGGGTTACAACTATCAACCAGTTGGTCATTCCTCATCCGGTTTGTCATTCACACCTGGTGGTGCTGCCAGCAATGTTGCTCCCTCCTACGACTCCGGTGTAAGCTCTTACGATGCTCAAGGCTCCAATGGTGCACCCTCTTTTGCTCCTCAAGCTGAACTCGAAAAGGAATTCTATACTTTCTCTGCCAACGATGCTGATTTCAATGATCCTGCCAGCTCTGACCAATTGGCCAATGCCGTGAAGAAAGGTCTCCGTGTCGTTTTCATCAAGGGTCCCGAAAACAATGGTTTGGAAGATGCTGCCTTGGCTTTGGCCAAACAAGCTGCCCAACAACAAACAGCCATCTATGTTCTCAACAAACAAGCTGACCTCGCCGATTTGGCCAACAAACTTAACAACCTCAACACCGGTAACAACAACAAACCCGAAGTTCACTTTGTCAAATACCGTACACCTGAAGATGCCGCCAATGCCCAACGTGCTATCCAAGGACAATACGATGCTTTGGGCGGTCCTTCTCGTAACATTGACGGTGGTGTTGCTCCATCCCTCAACTTTGCCTCCCAAGCCCCAGTTGCTCCCGCTGCAGCTCCCTCTGCTCCAGGTGCCAGCTATTTGCCTGCTTCCGTTTTGCGTCGCTTCCGTTTGTAAAATATTGAAACAGAAGATTGTTAAACGCCTTTGTTGTTATTTTTATTATTTGTGATCTAGTCAAATAAAATTATTGTTGAATTATTCGATAAAACAAGAGAACTATTTTGTGGGGAACAGCAGGGAGGACTATTTGCATGCAGCAAACACCACAATCCCTTACGCACTCTGATATAGAATTTGAGTTAACAGAACCAAACCCCATTTTTGTCATCAAATTTTCACACACGAAATTTTGAACTGTATCGGATACTTTACTCGTTTTATAGAGATATATGGATCATATTTTGGTATTTTCGAACACTTGTTGCGAAAATATCTATGATCATTAGATATAGAACACACAGATTGCAATGTGCAAATTTCAAATAGAGGGAAGCATTTTTAATCATTTGCCGTAGGTCAACTGAGAAATCACATCTTTATCCGAGATTTAATGTTGTCTAATTGGGACAACGAGAACTGAACATATCGCAATATTCTATTCGGAAAATATTGAAAAATGAGGTCGGGATAAAGCGATTGGAATTCCAAAACGTGCAAGAACTTATACCGCAACAGAAAGAAAATAGACTCAAAAGAGTTAAAGAGTTGCTTCGCGTGAACTCCCGAACTTGGTTTTCTCCGATGAGAAAACATTCATTGTCCACCAGTTTGTAAACAAACAAAATGATCGTGTTTACTTTCCAAATAGGTCAGATGTAAATGTGCACCTTCGGTTGGCTACCAGAACTCAAGCGCCGGCCATGGTAATGTTGTGAGCCGCCATAACAACCGATGGTCGCTCTCCGTTCGTATTAATCGACCGTGGCATCAAAATGAATGCCGAATATTATCGCGTAAATATTTGAGAGGCACGCAAACATTTTGGCCGCAGACCTTGGTCATTCCAACAGAACTCAGAACCATCGCACTCAGCACGCGCCTTTTTACAAAATGAGGTTCCTCGCTTCATTTCCAGCGCACAATGGCCACCAAAATCTCCAGATACACATCCATTGGAAAGCAAGGTTGGCTCTAAAAAATGCCAAAGTGTCATCAAAATACCGCAGAGCAACATTCGGGCAGCGTGTGACGGTTTCATTGACAGTCTGAAGGCCATAATTCGTGCCAAAGTTGACAAATGACAAATCTAAACTTTTTGTAAAATTTGATGCTATTTCCGACATTTTTTGCTTTCATTCAATAAAATTAAAAAAAAAATTAACATGTAAAAAACATTAAGTTCGCCCGGGTCGAACGTTTCCTTATGTTTCCTTCACTCTAAGGTAAAGTGTATACCTTAGAGTGAAGGAAACATTAGAACCCATTATGACCCACAAATTCCAATTTTTAGACATATTTATGGGAAAGTGTGGCAAAAATCATAGGAATACCGAATAAGGGGATGTACCGCTATATGGGCCTTTTCGCCACCGGAGCTAGAACACATTATGACCAACTTTTAGACAAATCCGTGATAAAATGTGGCAGAAACCATGAAAATACCGAATATCGGGAGGTACCGTTATATGGGGGCTATCCCAAATCGTGGACCTATACATGCAATGTTCCGCCACACGAACTAGGACTCATTACGAACTACAAATACCAATTTTTAGACAAATCCTTGAAAAAATGTGGTAAAAATCATCAAAATACCGAATATTGGGAGGTACCGTTATTCAAGGACTATACCAAAACTTGGACCGACATATCCCATTTTCAATACCAACCATTCTAGACACAACACAAATTGTTCTGCTAAATTTTGACGCTCTACGTCAAATAATTTAGGCTGTAGACAGACAGACAGACGGACATCGTTAAATCAACTTAGAATTTTATGCTGATTATGAATATAAACGGAATGACAAAGTTAATATACCCTAAGCTAAGCTCGAGCTAAAAATTGCCTATGAAGAATAGAAGACCCCTATTCCCGTAAAGCAAACCCAGGTCGTTCAGATGAAAAAGGGCAGCTGGAGACAAATGCTTCCGCGCTCGAAGCTGGTTCGCATCCTCGAAGCACCTTAATATACCCTCAACGATGCTATTCGTTGCTATCTTTTCTCCCTATCGTAGATCCACTTAAAAGAATGGGCTCTATAGGTGTCATCTGCGGAGGCCCAGACAAGTGGAGAGTAGTTTTCTTAGATTTTCGAACCTATAAAGTATCTATAATCTTGATCAGAGTAGAATTAGAAGACAATTCAGTCAGTCATAAAAATAAATCAATATTCTTTAATTTCCACTTATACGAAGAGTGATTCCCATATCGATTTTTTTTATAATTTAGCTACGTCGGATAGGATGTTTAATCAGATAATGTTGTTTAAATAAATAAATGTAAATATTAAATTTACAATCTTTAACTTCTTTCATTATAAACATTTTATTTATTATTAATGATATTATCCCAAAAAATAAACATCTAATATATATTTTTTAATTATATCCAGTAAGGAAAGCTCAAAACTTGGGCGGGGCCGACTATATGATACCCTACACCACTATGCATATTTAGTAGAGCTCTCGCAAAGGAAATGATTATAGTGCACTTTCTGAGTTCTATGAGATATCTGGTACAAAATATCATTATGGTAGAGTGCTTATTCCGAAAGTTGGAGATTTAAACACAAAATCGGATGAAACATATATATGGGAGGAAATTTGAAATTCTTGCTTCTATGCTAAACTCGACTGAATTGCGAAAGTTCACTCCATTTGGGCTAATATTAGCCATTTGGTGCACAATAAACATAAAATGATATAATCATATATATGGGAGCTATATCCAAATCTGAGCCGATCTTTATAACATTGAAAACAGCTATTTCTGGGCTGTATCTGATATCTGGTACCAAATATTTTTCTTGTATCGAGCATTTTACGAATTTGAGGAACTTAAACACCAAATCAAATGAAACATATATATGGGAGCTTTAGCTATATCTGAACCGATTTGCATCAAATTTAAAGTACTTATTTCTATACTAAATTAGGTCGGAAGTGATAAAATTCACACTATTTGGACTGATATTATCCATTTGGTGCACAAGAAACCTAAAATCGAATGAAACATATATAAGAAAGCTATAGCTATATCTGAACCGATTTTCCCCAAATTTGAAGTACATGCTTGTAAGCTGAATTCGGTAGGAAATGCCAAAATTCACTCTATTTGGACTGATATTAGTCATTTGGGCCATAATAAACCTGAAATCGGTCAAAGATACATATGGGAGCTATATCTAAATTTTTACCGATTATCTCCAATTTCAATAGAGTTCGTCCTTGTGCCATACAAATGTTATTTGGAAAATTTCATCTCAATCGAATAATAAATGCGACCTGCATTTTGTTTACAAAAATACGTGGACAGACGGACGGACGGACATGCATACATCGACTCAAAATGTGATTCTATGCTGATCACCAAAAGGTCAATGGGTCTATCTCGTTTCCTTCTACATGTTACAAACAAATGCACAAAGACGTAATACCCTTACTCCTTGGTGTAGGGTATAAAAATGATGATTTCATTTTTCGGTTTGCACAGTGTAATTAGTAGCACCTTTATAATTGAAATGTATTGCCACCAAACTGCATCAGTTTGTCGTTAAAAATTATAATAAAAACACAAAAATATTCGTAAAAAATTAACAACAGATTTTTATTAGTCTATATCCTACGACAACAATTCAATTTCCAACAAATCTTTGGTCTATGCTTCTTACAAACGGAAGCGACGCAAAACGGAAGCAGGCAAATAGCTGGCACCTGGAGCAGAGGGAGCTGCAGCGGGAGCAACTGGGGCTTGGGAGGCAAAGTTGAGGGATGGAGCAACACCACCGTCAATGTTACGAGAAGGACCGCCCAAAGCATCGTATTGACCTTGGATAGCACGTTGGGCATTGGCGGCATCTTCAGGAGTACGGTATTTGACAAAGTGAACTTCGGGTTTGTTGTTGTTACCGGTGTTGATGTTGTTAAGTTTGTTAGCCAAATCGGCGAGGTCAGCTTGTTTGTTGAGAACATAGATGGCTGTTTGTTGTTGGGCAGCTTGTTTGGCCAAAGCCAAGGCGGCATCTTCCAAACCATTGTTTTCGGGACCTTTGATGAACACGACACGAAGACCCTTCTTCAAACTGTTGGCATATTGGTCAGAGCTGGCGGGTTCATTGAAATCAGCATCGTTGGCAGAGAAAGTGTAGAATTCCTTTTCGAGTTCAGCTTGAGGAGCAAAAGAGGGTGCACCATTGGAGCCTTGGGCATCGTACGAGCTTACACCGGAATCGTAGGAGGGAGCAACATTGCTGGCAGCACCACCAGGTGTGAATGACAAACCGGATGAGGAGTGACCAACTGGTTGATAGTTGTAACCCAATTTATCGGCACAGGCCACAGCCACTAAGCACAAAACAATAAAGGCACGCATATTTGTTTTGGATTGCTATACAATCTAGATGATCTTGAGATGGAAGTATGTTCGATTCTGTTTGATCAGCAGTTGCTACGGTATGTCTTTTATATTGATGGAAAAAATTGTTCATCGCAAGAACATTTGTGAAAATCTCTTTTGTTGTTTCTACATACATATGTATGCACATAGGCGGAATAGAATAAAATTTTGAATTTTTATTTCATAATTTTTTTTTTTTTTGTATTAATGGTCGGCTTTTTATTTTCATAAGAAATTCAAAATTTTTAGTGGCTTATTTGCAAAACAACAATGGTTCCTATCCAAATCGTGATGTCTTTTTGTTTGTTGTCTTAATTAAAATCGAGTGAGTTAGAGACCAAATAATATGCAAAATTAGATTGTTATTTATAAACGTTTTGTTTTTCTTTTTGTTTATACACAATAAGAGGCTTTGCATATATAATGCAGTTATTTCTACATTGAACTATTGTTGTTATCAATATTGAGATTATTTGCTTTCCGAATTTCGGCAAAAACAATTCATATCGCATCTGGAATGAGGAAGTAAAGGTGATTCTGTTGGGGGTGTATCAACGTACATAAAATCCGTTTTCTTTTATTAACTTTTTAAAACTTGTTAGTTTAACTTATATTTTAGTTCTAAATATAGTCTAATTATGGCTTGTTTATTTTAATTTATTTGACGATCTAATGTCAAAAACTAGAGAAAACAAGAAAATGCAGTTAACCAAATCAAATAACAAACAAATAAGGCATTAACCTCGGCCGACCTTTAGAATAGAATATCTTAAAGTACCGACCGAGTATGGTATTTGATCGAGTGTCTACACGACGTCGTGGACGTGCATAGCAACTGTTGTCATAAGCCATTACAATATTTAAATCCAAAACTGAAAAATCGGTGAATAATGTAGCTAAAATCATTAAAATAGCGAATATAGGGAGGTACCGTTATATGGGGGCTATACGAAGACGGAGACCTGCACAGAAAATTTCCTGTCATAGGCTGTAGTATCCATTACGAACTTCAAATACCAAATTTGAAACAATTCCGGTGAATATGCCGATACCGAATATCGGGAAGTACGGTTATATGGGGTAGGCTGTATTATCCATTACGAACTTCAAAAACAATATTTGAAACAGTCCCGGTGAATATGTTGCTAAAATCATCAAAATACTGAACGGAATGTACCGTTTTATGTGGGCAATTCGAAGACGTGGACCTGTGCGAACAATTTTCAGTCATAGGCTGTAGCATCCATTACGAGCTTCAAAAGCAATATTTGAAACAATCCAGGTGAATATGTCGCTAAAATCATCAAAATGCCGAAAATAGGGAAACAATTCGGGTGAATAACGTCGTAAAATCATCAAAATACCGAATATCGGGACCGTTTTATGTGGGCTATACGAAGACGTAGACCTGCACAAACAATATTCTGTCATAGGCTGTAGTATTCATTAAACTTCAAATTCTAAATTTGAAACAATTCCGATGAATAATCTCGCTAAAATCATCAAAATACCGAAAATAGAGAGGTGCCATTATATGGGGGCCATAGCAAAACGTGGACCTACATGGCCCATTTTCAATGCCAAAAGTCCTTCCTGCAGACATTTAAGTAAAATTTTATCAACCTATTTCATTTCGTTCGGAAGCTATAGTGATTTGCACAGACGTCCGGCATCGCTAAATCGACAGAGAATTTTGGCATACTATGGTAGAGGGTACAGAAAAATATTTTGACAAAAAAAAAAAAACTCGAAAATATTTTCAATTTTCGGTGTACCTTAAGTTATCCTATAATTAAAAAAGAATGATTGTGACTCACAGTGTAATAAGACATCGGTCTCCCCATGGCAAAAAAATATATTTTCAATAAATCTTCTGACGATTTTTAATTACAGTATCATCCCATTATGATTCTAAATATTCTTCTGGGTCACAAAAAATGCAAATTATCATTTCAACTCATTGGATAGATATAGGAAGTATTAAATAGGTTCGCAAAATGCAATGCTTAAAACATAATTAAAAGCTATAATTAATAATTGTGTGTCTCAAGAAAACAAAACGTTTTTTCAATACTGACCACATCTAACAATTTCGTCATGATTCTATTGTTTACGTCAGGCATTTGTTTTTTTTTTTCTTCCTTTCTTTGTATGAACAAAATTGACCTTACTATCTAATATCTAAAGAAACCACTAATAAAACTGAGTCATCATCGATCGCTGTTAGATTTCGCGCTGACGATCGATTTGGCATGTTGTGGTCTTACTTTGTGATAATTGGACATTATGGTTACCTGTCGGATTAACATTGAAATTAAATGCTTTGTCGTCGAGCGTATAATTTTTGGCGCCAGACATAAAAGCGAAAATAAATCTCTGGTAATTAATAAAATTGCCAATTCAGAAAAACATTTGTAGTGATTAAAAAATTGACCGCATTTATTATTTTGTTGTGATTAAAATCTGGTCGCATTTTTAATTTTATTTAATACAGTTTGTTGAAACATAATAAAATAACAAACTCGAATAGTTTAGTCATCAATCTTTCTAGTCATAGAAACCCAATTACCAATATATTTTTAAGAAAATTTTAATTAATACTTATTTTTAAATCACATTTAATAACAATGTAGTACCTACAGAATTTTTATATGTAATTCGAAAAAATCCGTTGTAATTTGATTCTTTAATTGATAGGGTAAGTGTGCCTAAGTTCGGCATGTCCCAGTAGTCGGCACTTCTTATTTTTAAGCCCAAATAAATGAAACTATTATAAATAAATGTATTTTGTTTACTTCAAATAAATTGTCAGCTATCTTTGTGTACAATTTCGGTAAGAAAAGATGATTTATTCTAATAAAAATTAAATTTTTGTCTGTGAAGATCCTCAACAATTCATATTCTTAAGAAAAGTACAATAAAGACGTCGAATCAGTTTAACTTAACAAAAATATTATATTTTAATGAATTAATTTATTATCATTATTAATTATTCTTACAAAAAAATTGGTATGCCGACTGTTGGAACATACCATACCGACAATTAGCAAGTGGTGCCGACTACTGGCAAAAAAGCATTGTTTTAATAAAACTACAAATTTATGAAATTTAATAAAAAGTCTCTTCGATTCTGAATAAATTAACTTTGTAATAATTAAAAAGCTCCACTCAGAATGGTGAGCAATTAAAACGCGAAAATCCTAAAAGTACCGACTACTGGTACACTTACCCTATTTCTCAATTAACATTTGTGAGTTTCCTATCAAATTTCAATTTGTAAAATTCGAACTACATTAATTTGGATTTCGAATTTATTCATTTGTAATCACAACTATATATTAATAATATTTTTCTTATTATTTTCACATAATACTTGCTGGCCCGGTCTGCGTTGCCGCCACGTAGTTTTAGTCTTTAATACATTTTAAATAATGACTCGACTATTTAAAAATAACAGTATATGTGTTTATAATAACTCCACGCTAGATCTCTGCTCAATTTTTATACCGTACACCACATAGTGCATTTGTTTGTAACATGGTGAAGAAAGCGATATAAACCCATAGTTACAGCCGATGGTCGCTCTCCGCTCGTATTGTGCTCTCCGAATAATTTCAGAATATTATCGCGAAAATTTTCTGGAGGGTGTATTAAAGCCTTGGGCATGCAGACATTTTGGCTGCAGACCTGGGATATTCCAACAAGACTCAGCACCATCGAACTCAGCAAGCGCCACCCAAGAGTGGTTACAACATGAGGTTCTTCAATTCATTTCCAGCGCACAATGGCCACCAAAATCTCCTGACACCAATCCGTTGGACTATTGTGTCTCGAGTAATTTGGAAAGCAAGGTTGGCACTAAAAAATACCAATGTGTCGATCACCTCAAGCAAGCGCTTCGCCGGGAATGTGCCAAAATACCGCAGAGCAACATTCGGGCAGCGTGTGACGTTTTCATTGGCCGTTTAAAGACCATAATTCGTGCCAAAGGCTATCAATTGGAAAAAATCTAAACTCATTCTAAAATTTGTTGCTCTTTCCGACATTTTTTGCTTGCATTCAATACCATTTAAAAAAATATAAAAATTATGGCGTTTGACTTTGTTGCAGTTTTTTTATCTCACCCTGTATCTTCAACCGATTTCGTGTTAGTTGTGCACCAATAACCAATATCACTCCAAATGACCTGAATTTTGGCATATTCGACCGAAACTAGTCTAGAATCAAGTACATCGAATTCGGAGAAAAAATCGGTTCAGATATAGCTTTATAGCTCCCATATATATGACTCATCCGATTTCGTGTTTAAGTCCTTCAAATTCGTAATATGCATTCGACAACAATGATATTTGGTACCAGATATATTTTAAAGCTCGGAAATACCTTTGCCAAATTTCATCGAGAACGGCTAAGATTTGGATATAGCTTCTATATATATCCTAATCCGATTTCGGGTTTATTGTGCAAATAATGGCTAATATCAGCCCAAATGGAGTGAATTTTGGGACGTACGTTTCCATTTTGTGCAACTCGGCTGCGATATATATTTTTTTAATATAATATTTCTCCAAGTGATATCATGCACCCAATTTCTGCTCTAAAGACAAATGTTGATAGTTGGTATGATCTACTTCTAAAAAATTATTTTTTTACGGGAGCTATACTAAATATGCATAGTGATGTATGGTATCATATAGTCAGCCCGCCCGACTTGTGACTTTTCCCTACTGCTTAGTATTGTACAGAGCTTAACAAATTTGTTCGAAGAAGATCGTGCGGTGCTGTATTTAGTTTTGACTGCCTCAAAAATAAGGGTAGAAAGATTTCAGAATAGTCAAAGCTAATTACTCTTTCACATCCATTACCATAGCACCTCAAATTATATTGTTATATGGGAACTATACCAAAATATGTACTTATGTTGGCATTTTTCTGTAAAAACACATTTTTAGCCAAATCGATTGCCCTCGATATAGGCAAAATCAGGAGGTACCTTTATACTACTCCAAAACATTAACCTACATTGAAAATATTCTGCGAGAAATTAGAAGCCAAGATGTTAAATAAAGGCCAATTCACTTGAAAATGCGGCCAAGACCCTGGAAATAGCTTAAATCAGGTCATACCTTCATATGAAACTGATATGAGGGTTATACTCATAATCCCTTGGAAGGATGTTTTCTTCTTTTTAAAAACTCAAATTACCAAAATGTGCCGATATTAGTTTTGATGAAATTTAAAAAGTACTTGAAATCGGTGTATACCTTTATACGGGGGGATATACCGAAACGTGCATCAACAGAGCCCATAGGGTCAGAATACAATCCTGTTGTTTCTGGAAATGATTGTAATATATTAAATTTTGAAATGTTTCTGCAGTTACTCTACAGTTTGCAATTATTGACCAATTGGGGCGGAGTTTAGCACGAGGCTAGAGATAAGGGCTGGACAGAGGCCTGCCATTTTGCTTGGTCATCGGACAATATAGCGAATAAAATAGATAAACTTTAATGTATAAAAGTACGAAAATTCCCATTGAACCGTAAATAAGATATCGGATATTTAGTAAAATGCAGTAAACGGAATTTGGGCCAATTCCTGGCGAAGCGCTTGCTTGAGATAATTGAGAAACACGATCATTTTGTTTGTTTACAAACTGCTGGACAACGAATGTTTTCTAAATTCGGCAGTTCACCTCGTTCGGCCAAGCGAAACAACTCTTCAGCTCTTTTGAGTCTATTTTTTTTTCTATTGCGGTGAAAGTTCTTGCACTTCTTGGAAATTCAATGGTTTTACCCCAAGCTCATTTTTCAATATTTTCAGATATGTTCTGACCACGAGTCATTTTTTCGGCCACTGCGACGCGGGTTTCGATCAAGTCGCTTCTTTCCGTCCACTTCCTTGATGTCGGGCAATGTCCTATAGTCAATATCACGACGATGTCCTATAACGCAATGGGTACTACAACGTATTGCAAATCTATGCAGGTCCACGTCTTAGTGTAGCCCCCATATAACGGTACCTTCCGACATTCTGTATTTCATGATTTTAGCGACATTATTTGCCGGATTATTTGTTTGTATGCAGGTCCATGTCTTCGTATAGCCTCCATAGAACGGTTTTCAATTGAGTGGTAGTTTTCGAAATTTTTTTCCTTCCAAATGGAGGAGGATATTAAAAGTTCGACCCGGCCGGACTTACCTGCTTTTTTACTTGTTTGTCGGATTTTTTATTGCATTTTAGCGACATTATTTACCGGAGTTATTTCAAATTTCGTATTTAAAGTTCGTAATTGGTACTACAGCCTATGACAAAAATGTTTGTATGCAGGTCCACGTCTTCGTAAAGCCTCCATAGAACGGTTTTCAATTGAGTGGTAGTTTTCGGAATTTTTTTCCTTCCAAATGGGGGAGGATATTAAAAGTTCGAACTTACCTGTTTTTTTACTTGTTTGTCGCATTTTTTTATTGCATACATTGTACATTTTGTCATGAATTGTACATTTTGCAATATTTTTTTCACCTTACATAACTATATTTTGCAGGTATTATATTCAGGTTTTAACAAAATTTTGCATGGTTGTAGGGTTAGGACATGAATAGAAGCCTATTGTTTTGGAAGATGTTCAGAATATATTTAGTGGAAATTTTTTTATGAGGTTAGAGTTTAGTACAGCTCTGAAATCTAGCATTTTAGATGGTAATATTTAGCTGGTGAAACAGACCACAATATTGCGTAAAAAAGTACCAAAATAGACCACAATATTGCGTAAAAAAGTACCAAAAATTCCGAAATACTTCTTTTTACATTGACCATTAACACAACATAGTGGGTAATGACCTCGTGGTTTCTGTCGAAAGCCAAGATATATCTTTTGCAGGACTATGTATGTTCAAGAACGTATTCTGTTATTCCCGAAAGAGCGAATTGGGTATTTGACGTAGTAGGAACGTCTGATTCGTCAAATACCTATGTTTTTCAGAAGATTGTATGTTTTTGGAAAATTTTGGTTGTGATTATTCAAATAGAGCAGCAACTAGGTTCAACATATGCTTTTATTATGTAGTAGATATGGAAATGTTTCTTAGGGAATCTTCATACTAGTTAAAATGGTTTTACATCTGCCGAAACTTGCAGTGTTGTTGGGTAACGAATGGTCGGCCCGTCCAACTTTAGTCTTTCCTTAATAGTTTTAACATAATTCCAAATATTAATTTTCGTTTCCTATATTCTATTCAAAGATCGGACGTTGTTATTTCGTTCCTACGTTCGCAAAACTTCCATAGATCTGCAACACTTTTTGTTCTGTTATAGAGTATTAGAAAAGGGAGGTATTGGTTTTTGACCAGACCAGTGTCTCAACCATATGATCTCAAAATCCATTGTTAGAGGCTAGTCATTGCATAAACGGAATGTCCATTTTAATACAATGACGTTATTCTAAAGTTTCCCCCAGCTAATTATTAAAGTAGAACTGTAGAGCTCGAATTAAGCTAATGCCCATTGCCATCTTTATTTTCTAAATATTAAAACTAAGAAATATGCAGCATTCCAACACCTGTGTTGTTGTTTAGCATAGGGAAATATATAAATATAATATACCTTTGTTGCTAATTTCTTAATCCGCTGCTATTATCTAGATTGTGTCGCGCAGATTATAGAAAATATAAAAACGCCTACCACTGCAAAGAATCAATCATAACACTACGAACACTTCTTCCGTTTAAATCAAAATCTACAGGAAACAATTATAACAACAATGCGTGCCTTCGTTGTCTTGTGCTTGGTGGCCGTTGCCTGTGCCGATAAATTGGGATACAATTATCAACCAGTTGGTCACTCTTCCTCAGGATTATCGTTTACTCCTGGTGCTGCTGGCTCAAATGTAGCTCCCAGCTATGATGGTGGTGTTGGCCCTTTCGAAGGCGCAGGTTCTAGTGCAGCACCATCTTTCGCCCCTCAAGCAGAATTAGAAAAGGAATTCTATACATTTTCGGCCGATGATGCTGATTTCAATGAACCCGCCAGCTCCGAGCAATTGGCCAATGCTGTGAAACAAGGTCTGCGTGTAGTTTTCATCAAGGGCCCCGAAAGCAATGGTTTGGAAGAAGCTGCCTTGGCTTTGGCCAAACAAGCTGCCCAACAAGAAACCGCCATCTATGTTCTCAACAAACAAGCTGACCTCGCCGATTTGGCCAACAAACTTAACAACCTCAACACTGGCAACAACAACAAACCCGAAGTTCACTTTGTCAAATACCGCACACCGGAAGATGCCGCCAATGCCCAACGTGCTATTCAAGGTCAATACGACTCGTTGGGAGGTCCTTCCCATAACTTTAATGGTGGTGTTGCTCCTGTCCTTAACTTTGCTTCCCAAGCTCCCGTGGCTGCTGCTCCCGCTGCTTCTGCTCCTGGTGCTAGCTACTTGCCTGCATCCGTCTTCCGTCACTAATAGGATGAGTATTAGGGATATTTTTAAGTTAAGATAATATTTTGTTGTTAGAAAAATAAAATTGTTACATGTTTTGTTAAATTTGATTTAAAAAGTGTTTTGTTTCCCTTTTCAATATTACGTTGGGAATACGAAGAATGTTAGAATTGAAAATGGCTTTCCATTATTAAAGGATATGTGCTTGGGTAGCTTTGTCTACCTCTTGGATGAGGGTACGATTAGTTCAGTACAGCTAAACCGGATGGGGTATATTATTAAGATATCAAATTGTAACACCACAAAATATTATTTGGAACCAAGAGGGTATAATTTAAAGTTTAATAAACTATGTTCATCTGTCTCAAAGACATAAAATCATATAGACTCTATAAAATGCATTCTGAGAAAATGGCTTGTTGCTATAATATGTAATGTCATGACTGAGGCATGTTTCTTGTGAAAACTTTACTTTAGAAGGAAATGACAAATAAAAAATTGAATAAAACTAAAATCGGTTCAAAATGTAATAACATAATCCTTTCCAATTATTTGCATATTGCCATAGCGACTGAATTCACAGTCACAGAATTCACAGATGTAAACACACTCATCATTTTCAATATTTTCCGGCAATAATTGTGTAATATTGGATCCCCATTAGGCATAGCCCCAATATAACTCTGCCTGTAGATTTCAAGTATTTTGAAGATTTGAGATAGCATTTCCAATTGAATCAATGTTTTAGCGTTAGAGGATCTCAGGCGATATGAATTCACTATTGGATATGCTACGTCGCGATATTTGGCACTTCTAAATTAAATTATACACATATATGTTGCAAATTTGTTTGCGTTTTTCCGATTTTATACATTACTAGCTGGCCCGGTCCGCGTTGACGGCCCGTAGTTTTTGTCTATTATGCATATTTGTCAAAGCATAATTATTCACAGATATGACTGATATAAGTGTTCACGTACTGGTCGATTAATTTTTAATTTTTAGTCAAATGAGCAGTAATTTGGAATTTATTGTATTTTGTACACCTCATAATTGAGGGCTGAATGATTTAAGAATAGCCAAAGTTAACTACTTTTTTAAACCCATTAACACCTCAGATTGTGCATTAGAGTCCTCATAAGTCCCCCTAACCATGTCGGTCTTTTTGTCCGCCAAAAGTTGGACTTGAGAGGGTACTATTACATGGAGAAAATTCTAAAATTTGTAGATATATTGAAATTTTTGTGTAAGATTTTCACAACCCCCCAAATACACATTTTTAGCTAAATCCTTTGAAATATGGTAGAATCAGGAAGTACCTTTATATGGGCACTACTGCGAAATATCGACCTACATTGAAAACTTTCTTCTACCCCTTATAATCCAAGATGACAAATAGAGGCCAAATCAAAAATATAGCAGAACAATATAGCATGTCAAACTGAAAAAAAAATTCACGTGATTTAAAGAAGTAAAAATAGTTTTATCCACCTCATAATTGAGGGCAGGCTGATTTCAGAATAGTCAAATATAATTACTATTTTACACCCATGTCATTGTCATTTAAATTGTAACTTGGAGACCCCATAAAGTCCATATTTTTCATCATAGTATAATTCAATGACGATTCAACAAATATTCCGTCCTGTGCTACTTTCTCATATTTATAATTTGTTCATGTTTTCACAATTTATTTCATATAAATGTGCATCCCAAATCTACTTTCCCAACCAATATTCTCTTGGGGGTTACAAATTAGAATACAAAATTTTCTTTTCTGACCACACATTAGATGTGAAAGTGGACTTGGGGATACTCCAATGTGGGGACTTTACTTAAATAAATTCCTATGTGCCAATTATCTGTATGATGGTTCCCTACCAGAAGGTTGGATAAAAAAAAATTTTAGCCAAATCAATTGATGAAGGTGGTCAAGACCAATATGGGCCCTACTCCGGAAATTTTATGCGAAGAGGTTCTCCACCCCCTTAGAAACAAAAATGCTAAATAAGGGCCAAAAAATGAAAAAAGTAGTCAAGACCCAAAAAATAGCTTAAATCATAGACGGTTATATAAATATGAAATCGGGTTGTACCCTTATCCGTGAGTTATGATCAATATCAAGACCTGCAAAAGCGATTTAAGGTATCTTGAATGTTGGGACGAATTTTTGGAAGGATATAAATCCTTTTCTTACTAAAAGTCCCATTCGCTCTACTATTTTACTGATTGTACTTTACTTAAATAAATTTCTATGTGGCAATTATCTGTATGATGGTTCCTTACCCCAGGATAGTATAAATACAATTTTTTAGCCAAATCAATTGATGAATGTGGTGAAGACCAATATGGGCCCTACCCCCTTAGAAACAAAGATGCCAATTAAGGGCCAAAAATAGAAGAAAGTGGCGAAGACCCCAAAAATAGCTTAAATCATACGATGGTTATATATGATCGATATCATGACCTGCAAAAGCGATTTAAGGTATCTTGAATGTTCGGGAAGAATTTCTGGAAGGATATAAATCCTTTTCTTACTAAAAGTCCCATTCCCTCTACTATTTTGCACCCTTTATATTTGGTATTTTACCGACTGTACGCCCAAAAAATTTTGCATTTTGAGCTGTCATTGGACGGATTATTGTCACATGAAAGAAGTAGGTCGACGCTTTGAAATGAGCCCCATTAGTCTTTTTCGGTCATTTTTGTTTGTTTAAATTATTTTAAAATTCAATTCCATTGAAATTTTTTTCGATAATTCCCAATTTGAGAATTTTTGCAATGAGATTTCTCTTTTGTGATTTTTTAGGGATTTTGAAAAAGTAATTATCTTTTAACTTTGGCGTGATTGCGTTAAATTATTTCGATATCATCTACTCCGTTTCGCTATCACACTCCAATGTAACTCGCCATCAATTTTAGTTCTCAAGAAATCAAGTCAATTAAATAAATTGGTATTAATATCCGAATTCAAAAATAAAATATAAAAAACACTACGAATGTACATTAGAAAAAAAGTAAGTCAAAATGGAAAAAAATCATGAGAGTTAACGACAGGGCAGTAGTCTAGCATTTTGGAATTTGGTTTTTATGTGAAATTGCTTGGATACCAATCAGCACGACAGAGAAGGGTAAATATAGGCCAAATTCCATGGTCAAAAACCAAAGCCAATATTTGTGCAGGATTGTCTGACATTATTTAAAAGAAAAACAAGTAAGCAAAGGCTATAGTCGTGCGGGGCCGACTATGTTATACCCTACAACACTACAATATGTTAGAAGGCCCCATATGTCCAAATCCATATTGGAAGATTTCGCTTTTGAAACTAGGATTTTGACTAGGGACCTTTGCCCAATATTTCTGCACTCCGTCGGGCTGTTAGTTTTCGTAGTCCATTTTACAGCTAAATATAATCCAATAGTCATCCAAAATGCTAGAATTCTTCCCTGTTCTTAACTCTCTTCACAGACGTGTCGATTGGCTTAAATTGTGTGATCGGAAAAACATTTCTGTTTTTGGTTAATTTGGACCCCCAAATATTTTGCTCCAAAAGCTAGAGGCCCCTCTGTATCTCCAGATTTAGACTCATCTATATGATTTGCTTGTCTACGATTTTTGGCGATATTCGTCAACAAAATCAGCATAAAAAAGCCAGAAGTTCGCCTTTTGTGTATTTCGGATATCGCCTGTAAGTAATGCAGGTATTTTTGCACACAAAATTAGTTGTCCATTGTACCCGCTGTCCTAAACTCTAACTTTATGCGAGATTTCGTATCCTCTGATTTCTATTTGTGACCTTTATAACGGCTGCAAAATCAGGAACATTTTTAGTTGTTGGTCCATTTCAACGCATCTTTGAAAACAATAGGACATCTTTTAAAACAATAGGCCTAGCCCTTCTGAGTCCAACCCTACCCTTGTGAAAATTTTTGTAAGAATCGGACGATATTTGCAATACTTATATTATATCCCCAATCTGTGTTGTTCAAAATATTATGAGTCAAATTGAAAAATCGCATGCGATAAAAAATATGAAAATATAAAAAAAAATGTCACAAAATACTACAAAATCTAAATTAACATCATTATTGGCATATTTTTCTGCGATTTTTTTAGATTTTATACATTTATGTCAAGAGGGCATTCTGAATTGACAAAATTTGTCAAAATCGCTCCAGCCATTCTTGAGATATAAGCATTCTAACTAACATCCCCTTCCTTGGTATATACACATGGTATATATTTCGCCATATATAACCGATATATTTACTATCGGCATCTACGTAACGGTCAGAATTGACCTGTTCGTCTATTTGTGATTTCGCCGGGATTAAAAATATTCGCGGTTTAATGGAAAATTCGACTTTTATTTAACACAAATGTTGTGACCTATTTCACCCACTAAATATTATTACATGGGACAGACGGACGGACGGACATATATGGCTAGATCGACTCAGCTCGACGAGCTAGGAAGATCCATATATACTTTCCTATGTGGGAAACCAATATTTCGTGGTGTTACATAATTGTTGGCCCAATCAAACTTATAATACCCCCAACACATAGTGTTGTAGGGTATAAAAATTAAGTAAAATGGGTTTTGACACAAGGAGGTTTTCCAATATATTCTAGTGTTGTAGGGTATCACATGGTCGGCCCCGCACGACTATGGCATTTGCTTACTTATTTTTACCTGTTCTGTAGTGTACACTGGTTGTTTTAGGGGCTTAAATGTCGTCCATGAACCAAAGAAATGCACTCTATAAACTTTGTAAATGGAATGCTGTTGTTCTCAATACCTAGTAAGAAGTAAATTCCACCTGTTGTCTATTCTTACTATGTACCGTTGTATAGTATGAAGTATCAAATTGGTATCACTTTTAAAATTCATTGTTGGAGGCTAATCATTGTATGAATGGAATGTCAATCTTAATACAATGACGTTGTTTTTATGTTTCCCCCACCTAACTATTGAACTTGATATACGCCGCTAGAATTAAGCTACTGCTCATTGTCATCT